ATTTATAAGAATTGTATCATTTGCAATTTCTGAGCTCCCATTGCATTCCCATTGTTAAAATATCACTGCTCCCACCAGTCCAGACTACAGTCCACCATCACGCTTGGGAGGAGTCGTTTACCCTGGACACCCACCCACCTTCGGGCAACCCGCACCCATCGACGAGCAGACCGAGCCCGTGGACTTCAGTTCCCCCAACGAGCCCGTGAACTTCTCGCTGCCCCGGCCCCTCGACTACCCTCCTCCTGCCCACCACGGCTGCCCGGCGCCAGATCCTGGATATGCTTCCGACAGAGCGGCTCATGATTTCCGCAACATGAATGGTGAATGGCGGCTATAGTGAATGTCGAGTGTTGTGCTTAAATTAAGTTTTAATATCGTACAGGAATGGAGCGTACATTGCGGAACAAAATAGCGGATAGTTCGCTTTATGTCCCTTGATATTAAGGGTGACGCTATACTGCGAATGCTCATTTTGCCAAACAAATGCTTATTGATTGTTGGGTGAATAGTTTTATTTGACCAGCAGCTGCTGCCGTGGTGAGATAGGTCAATGAGAATAGGAAATTAATCAACTTTTATAGATAGTTGCTTGCTTTGACCTTGTCAGGCAATTGTGAATTCAGATTAAAAGGCAATGTTTTGGTTCTAAATCTGTCAACATACTTCGATCGGAGATCTTTCCCGTCGGACTAATAATCGTCTTCTGTCTCTTTCAATGCTGCCTCACCGAACATGGAACCTTCGTTACTATCTTTAACCTTTTCATTTATTACTGAAATATTATTTATTATTTTATCACAAATATTACTGAAAATTTATTTTTTGTGTCAACTTCTTCCTTATTTGCCAAACTGTGGCCTTTTCACACGCTTTTGGCTGCACGGTGTATGCTTGTGTTCGGTGATTTGCCGGATTATCATTAAACAAAGTTAGGCTACAACGCCATGACAAGCCGACCGTATGACGTCACGTCGGCCTATAACACCGGTTACATGGGCTACCAGGGCTACCAAGGAAGCTATATGGGTGCAGGGGGCTATGGTGCGGCCATGGGTCCAGTGGGACCAGACTACATGTCTTCTGCAGCGTGTGGGACGCCGTACCAATTGTCCCCGTCTCGCACTCAGCCTCCTCCAACTCCCCTGCCTGAGAGGTACATTAACTTCCTAACCTCACTTGTCCCTTGTTGCAGATCTAGACTATGATATATTAATGTGTATCGAGCTGAATTGAAACGCATTCAGCATTAGAACTTCTAACATTGAAATTTTAGTTTACTAATTCTAATTACTGTTTTAATAATCTGAGTACATGTGTGGCGTCCGCCCGTTGACATTAATTATGTATTTGATGAAGTGGCGTCCGCCCGTTGACATTAATTATGTATTTGATGCAGTGGCGTCCGCCCGTTTGCCCGCAGCAGCAGTCGCCGCGACGGCAAAGAGCTCATCCAATGCCCCACGCCGGGCTGTGATGGCATGGGCCACATCACCGGCAACTATGCCACCCACAGGAGGTGATTAACTTCTCACGTGTTTTCTTTTGCTTTTCATCTTTTGGCGTTAACTGTGCAATAATTTTTCATCAAATAATTTTCAGTTTATTACAAGAACTTAATAACAAATGGTAAGACGATATACCTATCAAATTAAGTAATGAATTCGTGCTACTAATGTGTTTGAATCTCATTTTACATTAGCGTTTCGCCCATATTATGTATTGAAGATTCACTAGGATCGGATGATATCGTATCATATCATATTGATGTCGGCGCTGAAGAATAAGCCTGATGTGGCCTGTCGCCGATTCTTGTACTTTTCGTGACTTGTACACGGGAGATCTAGAAACAGGTCCTTGGACCAGATCTTTTCCAAACTGACGATGATTTGAAATAGCTACTAGACTTCCACCGGGTTCGGGAGATATCAAAGCATGTTGTTGAAACGTTACGTCCGTGTTTCGTGGTAATGTCTCACCAGGTTAATATTCTCACCTGTTTAAACTATTTTTTATGTTATTGTAGCCTGACGTCCGTGTTTCCTTTTGATCACTCACTAGGTTTGCCATGTATTGCAGCTTATCGGGATGTCCGCGCGCCGATCGCTCCGCAATCCAGCATCAGACCCAGGAGCTGAAATGCCCTACGCCGGGATGCGATGGAAGTGGTCACGTCACAGGCAACTACTCTTCACACCGCTCTCTCTCCGGATGCCCAAGAGCAAACAAACCTAAACATAAACCCAAAGACTCTCAAGACTCCGAACCTCTACGGTAAGGATCGGCTAAACACCCGAATAACCGTTCCTGGTTTCGTATGGTATTGTTTTTGGTTTATGAAACAGATTGGTTATCAAGACCAAGCTAGGTAATGTTCAAAGACTCGTGGAAAGGATGGAGCTGTCAGGCCTCATTAATGACGGAACCATTAATTTTTTCGTGCAGGTATTGGCCTGGGCTTGGCAAAATTACAATACTAAAGTTTGCAGAGAGTTTATTTTAAAAATCTCTGGACAACAGGAAATTTATGCAAGCACACAGCATACAATATAAGCAAATGAATCAATGATACAAACATTTCATTGCAAGTTGTTGGCAAAACTATTTCAGTTTATGAATTGTGAACAAATAAGTTGGAGCGTGAAATTAACTTACAGAAGTAATTCGCTCCTAAGGCAGGTTTGAATGTAATTCAAAACATGGGCTGACAGGTAATATTCGATGCTAGGGAAAAAGGCGACTGAAAGCCGGAACGAAAATGTTACAAGAAACATCAAAATGAAATTGCGATCACAGTATTTTTTTATAAAAACTAAGCGAATAACGTTAATATTCCTCGGTAAAACTATTCATTACTTTTTACCTTAATTTTGGCATAAAGTATATATGGCCATAACGTTAAAATCGTTATTTGAAAACAGGATTTGCTTCTTCAGAGATTTCATCTTCATTGTTTCAATGTCTTGAGGATAATGAACAGCTTTTGTTGTTCACTGATATTAGTCTTACTCAAGAGGAAATAGGCTAATTTCTTTACAGATTACATTTTATGATAATTGAAACTAACTCAGCCTGAGGTCTTCGAGTTCCAATGAGAGAAACGCCGAAAGCGACCCTGGGTAAGTGTGCATGCATGAATATGCCATTGAAATGCCTATCATCAACCGTGGAACTCCTGTGATGGGAGCTCTAATCTTCCATGTTTTCATCACTATTAAAAAAAATATAACTCAGTACTCACTGCAGTGAGTGATAGAGAGCGCATTTTCTCGTCGACGAAAACTTAAGGTCAAGGACGGACGGACAGACGGACGGACGGACAGACAGACAGACGGACATGGCGAGCTGCACAATAGTGCATTTTTTCCATATATGAGAAAATACGCTAAAAAGAGAACACTATGAGCTTGCAAGTCTATGAAGACTTTTTTTCTCGCGGAAATCGATCTGTGCAACGCAAATTGCCAAAACTCATGTAGTAAATGATAAGATTCACCGACCACGTACCTTCTGCGACCGACATTTAAAGGTGGAAATGGAAGTGACCGATGCATGTGATCCCCATCGTAGGTCGCTGTGGGAGAGCCCGACACCGTTTGCCACTCCGCCGACGTCCAATTGCCCAGTGATCGGGTGTGATGGCTCTGGCCATTCGTCCGGCAAGTTCAGCAGCCACAGAAGGTAAGCCACGCAACACAGACACGACTCTTCTGAATTGTCAGTCCGAGGCACTCAAGTTCAATTCGTTCATTCTTGTTGATAACTGAACCAAAGTGTCGCAAGAAATGGAAAGAATAATTCTAAAACTTTGGAGTCGATAAGCGATAAATGCCCGGAATGACAAGGAAGATCTAGAGATCTTGTAACTGCAAAGGGGTTTAGTGACTTCACAATGCAATCACGAAATGAGCATGCAATCCACCTTTCATTTACTTCTATGAATTTGTGTAACTGTAATGCTGTATAAACCATGCACTAAAGTAGTTTCTACCTTCAATTGAAGTAATTCAAGATAATGATTTCGTAACTATCACAGAGAATATTTTACCTAGAATTTTTCTTTTTAAGCAAGCAATTTTTAAAATGAAAGGTCGTTCATCGCATTGGAAGAGATAAATTCTTTGTGTGAAGTCCAAAAATTCTAAGCAGTTACAAAATTAATATGAAAGTGCGGATACTAGCCAGCCAACACCACTTGAGGTGCTGCTCGACTCTTTTGCTCTAAATGTACTAATTTGGCATAAGTCACATAAAATATGCGGAAAATGTTCCCCACTATAGTCTCAACTCTTATAAAAATTCACCAGCAGTCTTCTCAGTCTTCCTCAAGTGGGGTTTGCTCCAAGTGTCCCGTCTATTCATTCATTCATGAATGATATTATTATTTTAACGGCACTGCATGAATTGTTCATATGAAATATAGAACAACGATGAAATGCCTCTGATTTCCGTAAAACTGAGTCTCGATGTGGTGTTGGTCATGAAATATCTGCCTTTCTTTGCTGTAGACCTTTTGGGATTTTGATTTCAAATCCCATAAAGATGAGTGGATCCAGTATAGCAGCAACTTGTTTTGGCTCAGCAAGGCACAGTTCGGTACTTCAGTCCTCCACTGGTACAACTTGTTCTGGGTTCCGGAAGAAGTTTCTCTTGCACTCAAAGTTCAAGTAAAAAGGTTTCGAGTCTTTGTCCGAATTGACTTCAAAATGAATTAACAAGTCAATATGATTACGCTTTTACGTAAAGATTCCTGATAATCCAGCCACATATTGGCCTCAACAAAATTTGCTGCTGGGATCTAGCAGAGTCTCGTGTCTGTGCTGTGATGGCTTATTCCATCCCTTGGTGGGGTTCAGGCGACATTAAGTCGAATGGCTGCAAGATGAACGGCTGTTAGACAGTGTTAACTAACATCAATATAATATATTCATTTTACATTTACATACTCGCTTGTCATAATAAACAAATTAAGCATTTGTTTCGTCGTTTTAAACAATACAATAATGATTTCTTAGACGGAACGAAACTCTATTTTTTCTCCAGCCATCGTCTTTTGGTCACAGAATTCCATCATCCACTATAATTAAATTTGCAAATATCGCCAAATTTGCAAATTTATCTGTAACCCTGGCACATTGCAGCGCTGCGGGTTGCCCTATAGCTAACCGACAAAGAATGACTCGCGACGGTAGAGGTCTTGGTGCCTCGACGGTCTCAACTGGAGTTACAAACCCAGCCACGTTGCTGGCCGCGGCGGCAGTGGCTGTATCCTACGGATCTGTGGACGTCATGCATCAACAGCAGCAGTCCTCGCTTTTTGCTGCTGCCGCTGCATCCCCTCTTCTGCAATCCATGCAGTCACAAAACAAGCGCATCAAACTCGAAGAAAATTCGTTGTTATCGACCAAAAATGAAGGTATGTGCTGAGGCTTCAGCGATGCCGTCACCATCTTCAAAAATTGCAGCCATTCTAGTGTGGCAAGGTGAGGCTCTTGTTAAATAAACATTTAAACCAAAGGTGTAGGCCTCCATAATTCTAGTAGAGCTTCTTATGCTCTTTTCCATCGCATATAAGAGCATATTTCATATGCGCTTCATATTCATCTGGCGCATATGTCATATTCTAACTAAATTCTTTGGGCTGGTGTGCACTAAAAACTCAACCCAGATTGTCGTTTTTGACATCTTTTGTTTGTTGTTAAAAATAAACTTGCTTTTGTCTCCAAAAATACCCCTTCTCAGCTGGATTTGTCTCCAAAAATACCCCTGCTTAATGCAGCTTACACCCAACGTTCGACGATCGAATTTGTTTCTCATTAATAATACCGAATTCTGCACAAATGCTGTTAACCAAGAATCTATATTCACCATTCTATTTGGGCGTCTGTTCATTGATCCGAATTTCTACACTCGCCTTCTCAGCTGCTAGCGAATGGCTACTGTTAGAACTGTAAACGCATGGAAACCGCATTGCCAGAAGTCTCTGCAATGTCAGTGGGACGAAACAGTAACGACTCTTTGTTCCTGCAGACGTGCGCCCCATTGGTTCGGACTCGGGGACCTCGGAGTGCCCACCGGAGCAGACCGCGAACGGGCCTTCCCTGGGGCACCTCGCTCGGAGCTCACCCCATGACGGCTCCTGTACGGGAGCCTCCCTAACACCAGGACAGAAGGTTAGCCAAGGTCCAGATAACAGAGTTTATATGTCCGTGATTACTATCATAAAATAATTTTGAATTGTAACTTAGATTTAGGATTTCAAGCGACACTACGAAACTGACGTAGGAAAATTTGCAAATCCAGTATTCTTATTCGAGGCCCGTAAAAGACAAATAAGATGATGATCTTCGGGCGTTAAAATTCTAGCCCTTCAGTAATCTTTATGTCAAAGCTGTGTTGCTGAAGTGTTTCATGACATGCAGGTAGCGGCTGGAACTGGTGAGGGGGACTCCCGTGCAGTTAAAGATCACGTTAAACAACCTGGCGCAGATTCTTCACTAACATCTTCATCTGGCGGAACTTCATCCTTTACTTCTGCCCCGACAACCGTCACTTCGTCACTAACCTCTGCTTCTTATGCAGCCACTTTTCAACAATCACCATCGTCTTTCACTCCTGTAACCCCGCAATCAGGCGGCATCTTCCCATCGTATTCATGCGCGCATCCTCAGCAGCCACCACCGTCACTGACTGATGCTTATCCAAACTCCAATCATTTCGACTCTTATTTATCTAAAATTCATTCACTATACACCGACACCTTCCCAGAGGATGCTTCATCCATGAACTTGTATAACTCTGTGCGACCTGGTTTACACGACTCTTCCCTTACTTCAACTCCACTGTGCGCTGCCAAAACTAGTTATGGTTGGTAGACGAGCATCGCGGTCTCCAAATCAAGAAACCGATGCTCTTGTCAATCAGTTCAGAAATAATTGTAAACAAATAAAAACAACGTTTCAGCGACCTTAACCACATCGAGAGATGATCCTGCTGCTCGTTATTAATTACCTTAGTTTTGCGGGTGATTCCTCATAATCAACGATCCCAAATATGATATAAACTTGTGTTTATTTATATTCGTGAGACACAATTTTGAATGAAAATATAAGCCTTATGAACGACTGGTCTGGAAATGGATCGATTAATCAGCAGATCTAGCCTTTAATTGACTAGTCGCGTCAACTCATTCCTTCATGGGAAGTTCCCTTAAAATTTGATGTAATTAACAGATCTAAATTAACGTCAAAATGGTGAAAATAGAATAATAAATAACATGAAATAATTCATGTTCAGAAATTAGGATATAATTTATTAGTCAAATGAACGAAGAAGACGAGCGAGTCCTCGTCAAGAATAGTCCCAAGAAGTTGTTATTACTCGCGGCCAGCTGGAAGAACATTCGATTGTACGAAGGTGTGTTCTGCGTTGCTGCTGACTTCTTTAAAACCATATCATGACATTGCGAGTGACGCGTTTGTGCTCTTCAAAGGAAGAAGTGCTATTATGCTTAATTTTGTTTATATTAATTACAGAAGCTGACTGTGGCAATTTAAGAAAGCTTTATTTCGTTGCATACTTAATATCTATGCGATGTCCTTGTAATAATAATAACTATTCAGCTCGTTGTCGCTACAAATGGAGGGAAAGCATCAACTTTAAAATATAAAGTTAGTTCATAATCTAACATAGACGGTACAACCTTTTATGACCAAAGCTAGAGGAATGAAAGTAGTTTTTAATCGAGTCCTTTGGTGCGCTAGATTATATTGTTGATTGTTTGTATGAGTTATTTGCTATTACTCTTTCCTGCGTTTCGTTATTTATTGATGATGTTCATTGTTTGACCCGTTTATTATGCATTATATTTTGTTAGTTAATGTAATAGGTGATGATTCTCAGCAGAAAATACAATCTACAGCCTACTCCTCCTTCTCGAACTTGATATTCGCACTGATTTGGCTTGACAATCACAGCTTGTGCATCTCGTAACTAGGCTGGCCCATTCCCCGAGGCAAGTCGAGCTGACATCGCTAGGCCCTGGCCGAGAGTGAAGGTTGTTGGAGGAAGTGGCAACCGTATTTGCCACTATGTTGAGTCTAATTTAGTATTATTTTCCAATGAATTGGAGTGCGGTAGCGTGTTTGTTAGTACAATGCTGTACATTTGTGCTTGCACACAATTATTGTACAGAAAACACCTCATCAACTGCTGAATGTACAGAGATAGAAGCATAATTAACGATACATGTTATGTATCAACATCATTAACAGGGTGGTAGTAACCTATTTAGTTAGCTTGTACCTTTGTCATATTACGGTTCCTTCTGGTGAGGGCTGAGTGACCCATTAAATATGATGAAAACTGAATATTTATTGCTAAATTCTACTAAAGGGGAGCTAATTCGATTTATAGAATTTCATTACAAACTCTGTCATTTGTGGCAGGAACGTAGGGAGATTTATTTTCAGGGGAAGAAAAATTCGTTTACTTCTAGCGAGTTTAACTTCTGTTTGACTTAAAAATTTGTCCCGTTAATTTTAAAATTAAAGCGAAATTGAGGCAATTGCAGAAATTTGGCGGGATTTTTCATTTGATCGACAGCGTGTAGGTGAAGCAAGATTATAAGCCTCGACATGAACCTATCATGGCATGATCTCTTCGTTTCACCCTTAATGCTGACGATTATTTTTGTGTAGATGTGCTCTTAATTTTCCTCAATAAATAATTATGTCGGATTAAGCATCTATAAGTACTGAAACTGACTTGCTGAAGCAAATAAATCTGTTTATGGTGGCCACCGTTCATATTTGGCTAATATATAAGAAAGTGCAGTGTTGGTATCCTCGTAAATTGTACTGAACTCCCGAGTATCTCTAAGACTGCTATATTAGTTGTTTGTGTTGGTGTTTGTGTACATAAAGCGTATAACCTTCTAATATCATCCTAGATGTGTTGTCTATAATTATAATTATTGTTTGCCTGGAAAAATTTTGCTTCTTGAATGAACATAGCTTTTGGTTAAAAGATGCTGTCGCTCGGTTTTTTGTCAACAGGATGTGTACACAAAGTCCATTTTATTTACGTTGCCAATGACTTATATTGTCCCGTTCAACATGCGATCTCGAAATCCTGTGCTAACTCTTCACGAGTTTACCACAGAATACATTCTTTTTGTGCGGACGATCGTCGGGGCAAACTAAAATATTTTTCATACTTTCACCTGACTTTTCAAACTGTTCTTGATTTCATTAAAATTTAAATGCAACTTGTCATCAAAGGACAGTTAACGATATGCTTAGAGTACGGCTTCATAGCAACGCAATCATGCGAAATTTCAAAAGGGGACATTCAAATAATTCTTTATTCCATATGGTGTTTTTGCCTTGAATATATCATAAACATATTAAATTCAACAACTCTTCTGAAGAATTGGCCTTTTAAGAAATAAAAAAGAAACTGTAAAGTATCCTACATGACGTCAACGTATCAACAGATTAGTATCCTCAACCTTGTTCTTCGACAGTCATACGCGAAAAATATCATCTCGAGCGTGTGTAAATTTGTATGAATGTATCTTCTTATTGAATGTATACTAAACCGTCATTTCAATTACATCCCTGTGTTTCACTGATCCCTCATTCATCGCACTAATGTCAGCCACTAAGTTTTCAATAATTTTTCATAAAATATGTTATGATTTAAACAAAGGCGATGTAGAAATCAAACTTTTATTCGCCTACTACATAATTACATCGAACTCAACTACATCGAACTCAAAGAAAGAACTACTACATCGAACTCAAAGAAAGAGTTCGAGCACGCGCTCCCATACACAGAAATCGCCATGAATACAGCTACAAGTCTTTAGAACGGTACAGCTTCGTCGTATCTGACGACTACTCGGCCCAACATAACTGTAAAAGAAATGAATGAACAAACATTAAAGCGTAGCAATGGAAAAATACGAATCATAAGGTTATAACAAGATTTCGAGCTTCGAAAAAATTGATAAAATAATGTGCAGACAAGTAATCAATCAGAAAACACACCTCATACATATAGAAGCAAACAAATAACATAAGTAGTCCCATCCGCAAGCCAGAAAGATCCTGGCTGTCCCCTCCAGAGACAGATATTCTTAAAATCTTTTGCGACCAGCTTTTCATAATTTCAAGACACTGGGAAAAATATGAAAGTATATAGAAGGTGAGGCAAACTCCGAAGAGAGCAATAAATTTTAGTTCAAAGAGGAACTCGGTTCTTCTAAGCAAGGTAAGAACATATACCTCCTGAAGAGAGTCATTTTGCTGAAGCAAAGAGAGTCAAGCATCGATAAACCCTTATTATTAGCCTTAATTAATCCTTATTTAGTTAAATATTAACCCATGACAAAACACTGAAACTTGAGTTCTAATTTGTTCTGAACTGGCTTTTTTATTTCCGAATTTTCAGCAGGCTGCATATCGATTTTATGACATTCATCGAGCAATGCACTATTACTCACAGAAACTGTTTTTCCGTACATAAATCCTTAACGTTAAACACCATAGTTATAAAATGCTGTTCAAACTTACCATATTTTTTCATAACTTATGCAAGTTTATGACAAATCTATGCAGGAGCATTGGTATGTTTAGTCTTGAAATGCATAGCACCTTATTGTCCAAATAAGTCCAGTAGCGATTTTGAAACCAACGTCAGTTGAAAAGATCTGGTCGAAAGGCCACTTTTTAGATCTCCTGTGAACAAGTCACAAAAAGTAGAAGAATCGGCAGCAGGCCATGGGCCTATTTCTTCAGCGCCGACACTTCTATTTTCCATTCTAGTTCTATTTATATTTCTATTACTATTTTTATTTCTATTCTGCCATATTCTATTTAATTCTACTCAATAACAATGACACATTGCATGCACCAGCAAAGCAAATCTATCAGCGTGACTGACACAGCAAGGGATTTTTGAACGCGTTCGAATCACAATTGCGTTCAAAATACATTGGAATGTTGTTTTAATTTTTACATCACTTGATAGTCTGGTTGCATTATTTTAAATCAAATCTTAGAATTAATCGTAAAAAGGAATGTCGTCGTCATTAACTCACGGCAGTACATTACGTGTAAAAAATATTGTTATCTAATTCTTACACGTAACCCAAATACACGTGGTTGCTGTTAATCTGGATTCTAAGCCAAACGAAGAAAAAAGTTAGCAGGTGGCTAAAAAGAGAGTATTAATGTCAAGGCCTCACACTGAAGCTGTGCAAGGTCTTCTTAAAAAATTGCCCTCTAATCTTACGGTAGAAACTTCATGACTGGGACACTCATTCGCCCGGCCTGATCGACAGCAGGCATTGTGCTGTATGTGCTGTGAATTTCTCGACAGGAGCTTCTCAGAAGCGCATGTGAATGTGGATTGTGGATTAAGAAAAACAATTAAGAAGCAGCGGCTCAAATAAATTTTAAGTCGTTAGTTCATGGTAATAAACTAAAATTATATTCACCAGTGATTTATGAGTTTTGTCCAGTTTGTGCGTAATTGGCCTCTACAGTTATGAAACATTGAAAAATGTTTCAACCTCAACTCGCCGAAAGTTTTCGAAAGTTATGAAACATTATATGATTGAACAATATTAATACTCGTAACATTTTTATATGCAGTGTTTGTTTTCAATGCGAGTTCTTCGAACCACCGTTGCTGAAGACTTAATCGTGTCTGTCAGTGGTAGTTCTGTTCAAGTGGAAGTTTAGTGATATTTAGTTAGTCAATAAGTCAATCTTTCCAATTAATAAAGTTCGAGTCATCTGGGAATGTTCCTTGTAAATACTAAGTGTAGACGGAAAGGCGCGTCCATTCCTGACGTTTAGTGCACTCGAACTGCTGCAAGCTTTGAAGAAGGTTTGTGAATAAATAAGTTGAAAGCTTTACGTTTTATTTATTTGGCATATTTGGAATCGTCGGGACGTTATTAACTAATGTAAACTATTATACTTAAAAATGAGATAAATTTTCAGAGTGTCTATGACAGATCGTTAAATAGAGATGTAATTTCTAAATCGAATGTTGTTTTTCTTTGATAAATAAGTCACTTCTCGTGCGAGTCTACAAATGGAATGAATTATTCAGTTTCTCCGAAGCTATTCGCTGCGGCATCACAATGCTACAACATCTCATCAACCCACTCGTACTGGGGGCCTTGACTGCTCTAGCGAGCTCGCTCATCACCATGACGGCATACCGCACCGTCACCCTAGAGCAGGACCAAGTCGTCGACTTTATCGTGGGTGAGTGGGACGAGACATGATTTGCGATACATCATTTACGAAGATTAATATAAAATTTATTGTGTAAAATCGTCAAATAGTTTTCTGCTCGAACACAGTTTCATAATCACACTAGACAAACTCGTATGATGACTTATGACTTTATGACTTATACCTATCGTATGATGATAGTGTAAGTGTAAGAAAATGAATTACCACGAATGTGATTAAAAAATTAGGAGTCTCACTTGCTGTTAATCTTCTTACCTAGTAAATTTTTACCTAGTTAATTAGTGATACTTCTTAACTGAGACTTTCCGCATAAAATAAACTTCGAGCTGTGAAATTTTCTTTTTTTTTTCAAGGACATGACCTGCATTTTTACTAATTATTGACGCCGACAGTTGGTAGCGGCAGCGCCGGTAGCGTCGTGGCCTCGCGACTCTCCGAGAACCCGAACTGGGAGGTGCTGGTGCTGGAGGCTGGGGGGCAGCCGCCCCCGGAGAGCAAAGTGCCAGCATTTGCAGCTTATGCCATTGGAGCAGACAGCGAATACAACTATAACTATATAATTGCTCCACAGAGACATGCACTACTCAACTTCAGAAATCAAGTAAATTTTTTGTTGCTCGTTCGTACGTTGCAATGATCTGTATGAGTGGCATAGGGATTGCCACTGAAAGCTGATTTAAGCTTCAATTCTCTTAAACTTCACAAAAAATAGCCTTTTATGCCAATTAAACTTTCACGCGTGTTACAAAGTGCTGATTCAAATTTATTCAACAGGAATCCTTTTTTCCCAGAGGGAAAGTAATTGGAGGCACCAGTGCCATAAATTACATGATCTTCATAAGAGGCAACAGGAAGGATTTCGACACTTGGGCTGAGATGGGCAACACGGGTTGGGACTACGACTCCATTATGCCACTCTACATGAAAATGGAAAATTACAAAGGAAAACATGCGAAGAAATACGGTGAGTTGCGTTTTCGAATTTGAATGAAATGGCCATAGGATATGCAATAAGTTGTACATATATTTAAATTTTCGGAAATGAACAAATTGGAAAAGTAATTTTAATCACCATTATTGATCTCACAGAATGACATCATTTTTCGCAGCTAAATATCACAGTCAAACTGGACCACTGTCCGTGGAGAGCATGAGGTGGGACTCACCGTTTACAAAATATTTCAAGGCGGCTGGAAAAGAACTTGGACTCGAAGAGGTCGACTTCAACTCAGAGAAGCATGTTGGTGAGTCATGATCCGGCCTATGAATCTACCGGCGTACAATAATCACAACTCTTTGAAGATCGGAATCGTATACAAAAAGTCCGATCAATTTTTCGTCATCCTGATGGAGGTGGAAACGAAAGATTAATTTTTTCATCTCAGGATCATAGCAGAAGCTATAGTATCGACACTCACCAGTCGGAACGGCAGAAGCGAAACTAGGTCCATCTGTACACTTGATCGTTCGTGAACATCAACTCATGATTTTAACGACTCGATGATGGTGCAACTAAGCATGAAAGTGTAGTTATTAGCACATCATTAAAGTGATGAATTTCGCAGGTTACAACGCCCCCGACTTGACAACAAATAATGGTGAGCGCCAGTCAGCTTCTGACGCTTACCTCAAACCTAACCTGCACCGCAGCAACCTGCGACTGCAGGCCGGCAGTCTCGTCACCAAGGTAGAGCTCACCATGGTTCATGATAGAGATAATTACAATTAGAGGTAAAGCTCATCATAATTCATGGCAAAGCTCACTATGGTTCATGATGAAGTTTATCATAATTTAAGGTAAAGCTCATCATTATTCATGGTAAAGCTCACCATAGTTCAATATAAAACTTTTCATAATTCGAAGTAAAACTCACCATGGTTCATAATAGAACTCATCATAATTAGGGGTGAAGCTCACCATGGTTCATGATAAAGTTCATCATAATTCATGGTAAAGCTCAGCATGATTCATGATAGAGATCATCATAATTAAAAGTAAAACTCATCATGATTCGTGGCAAAGCTCATCATGGTTCATGATAAAGCTTATCATAATTCAAGGTAAAGCTCATCATAGTTCGTGGCAAGCTCATCATATTTCGAATTAAATCATATATCGAATGCATAATTAGAATCATTCTTATGCAGTCACTCGGTGCTGCATTCTAGAGTGCACATAGGATACAAACAATTTTAACTCTCAGTACATTAGATATTTTTGTTTGAAGAAATGAAAATGAGAAATATCGCTGGAGCTTGAGTTTTGATTATTTTTCTTCCATCCTTTCATACGAATCAGTTTATTCTTTACGTTAATGTTGATCGGAAGAACAATCGCCGCTATTGTGACTAAAAATCTACCATTTCCAGGTCATCATCGATCGCAATCTTCGGGCTATTGGCGTGGAGTACATTCGCGACGGCAAGGTTTGTCATTTACATTTTCATTTTTGGAATGAAGTCACCCATAATTTTCCATGTGCAAGGTCATGAACAATGACTCATATTATGAAACTAGAAGCTCTCGTGAGTTGCTATTCGAACCAAATTAATGGGCGATCTTATAAATGATTTATTGAATTTCGGTATGTGGCATTGTTGTGGGGAACAACTACCATGCCCTGGCCACGATAGAGAGTCTACTGTGTGTGTGCGCCATTGGCGAGCAAATCTGAATATCCAGCACGGCTGAAGGCACGACTGAAGGTCGTGGTGAAAGTTATCAAGTCGTAGTCATTAATAAAATACGTAGAAACCAAAAGGGTATTGTGAGGTAGCAGTAATCAACAATATTACTGGAGGGAAGGATAATTACTTTAAATAATCACATTTATTAATGGTGTACAGCAATAAACAGCAATTGTATTATATGCTTTGAATTTTTATAATACTGCAGTTATTGTACTAAATGCTCGATTTAACGTACAGCGGTCACTTTGACGTTGCCTGGGTGGTTCAGACGTTAATCACTAAATAATATAATGACACATATGTACAAATGCGGTTTTCTTTCACTAACAAATTTATTAGTAAATATCTCACTCTTGATGATGAAAACTGCAAATACTGAGCCGAAATAGTTCAATATTAGGCAGAGCAACACAGGCTGCTATCATATAGCAGTGGTCGTCTTAATTAGGCATTGATTTTTATAGGACTTTTGGTCCTCCTGGAATTCATGCGATCGGTCAGTGTGCAAATTTATTGAGGAAGAGATTTTATAAGCGCGCAATGTTGCAACGTCAAGCGTCCCAAATAATTCAGACGAGTTATCGATTTGTGATTAGTTTGAGTAATCGGAAATGTGATTGTATGTTATCCAGATGAAAACTGCAAATACTATTATGCTGATTGGTCTTGGATGTGGATAAAAGTAGGGACATATTGAGCACATGGAAAAAACTCCATTTTTGTTACACCAGTCAGAAAATCTATTGAAGAACTTTAGTCTTACTTTTACCGCAGTTTTAGTTGAGCCTCTTAATTGAATTGAATATTTTGGCCTCTGAAATCGATCGCGCGTGGTGAAGAACGATCGTTGAACGAAATAGTTAGTCAAGCCCATAACGAAGTTCGTACAATAACGTACGTGGTTGGTGACTGTACGACTGTGCATCGCATCTCATTCAGTTCACCACAATGCTGGTCTCCACCACCAGATGAGGAGAGCCTTCGCCAGGAAGGAAGTCATCCTGAGTGCTGGGGCCATCGACTCCCCCAAGCTGCTCCTGCTCTCAGGCATCGGTCCAAAGCAACAACTTCGAACACATGGGGTGAGTTTTTACTAGCATTGCATCATGCGCATCGTCATGCTCATCGTCATAGACATCATCTTAAGCATTGTCATACGCATCGTCATGTTCATGATCATTCACAACGTCATGCGCATCGTCATGAGCCTAATTATACGCATTGTAATGTCATAAGCATAGTCATATGCATAGTACTGCGCATTGTCATAAGCATAGTCAAACGTAAAGTCATACGCATCGTCATATGCCAAAGTCTTACATCGTCATAATTAGTGATGCCCAGCTACGTTATACGAGCTGATGTAAATCGAGGCCAGGAAGATAATTTATCACACTAATCTTGTTTGGATTCTATTTGAAATGTAGAGCTCTATTGTATAAATATGGCATCAAAATTAACAATCTGTAATTAAAACTATCCTCTCTATTAGAGTAGTTTTTTTTAAAAGACAAAACGTTATTATGCCAAAATGATTCAATAATATTGTTATAGATTTTAACATCGCAATTTGATTGCACGATTTAGAGCCCTATATAGTATCCGAATTTGCAGAAGCTTGTTTGTGTATCAAGACACTAATGTTATCTTATGTTTTACAGGAAACATTGATGCGCTTGTACACCAAATACTTAATTTCTGTCAATACCTGCATGGAGCTCGAGGTGTCAGTGGAATAATAATTTTGCATATAATTATGTATTGGAATTTGATGGTGTAAATTCAATGATCTTAATTCACCTTGATATATTGTGTCTTTGACAGCCCGAGCCACAAACTAGATATACCATTATATTTTTATTTGCGCATTTAAATGTGTTGCAATATACGTACTGATTGCTTATTAACATTTGGTTCCGTATACGTATGCCTTATAATGTATCGACATCGGAAACCTGCTAGTGGAAGTAGACTTGGAATTTGTACAAATAGTTTCTTCATAACCTGAACATTATAACTTTACTAAACCACTATAATCTGTGTACTGCGTAGATGGGTTATTTTTCATAGACGACGTAGATATACGACGTAGACGACGTTAAAATTTTTTCTATATCCGTATTATTTTCTAGATAATTACGTAATAATATTGCAGAAGAAGCTAACTACACAACTTGAAATTTATTGGCGAATTCAAACGAATATTCATGTGGTATCCTATTGGATTGCAAGGGAGATGTGTTTCTAATTTTTATCTATTTTTTTTTTAGTTTCGTCGCGACATATCTCTCTTCGGTTACGATCCGTTAAGCAAGTTACCTGTCACTCGTATCCTCGATGCGAGGCCTGTAACTCGTATATTATCGCGATAAAAACTGTGTAATATTGTACCTACTGAGTTTTAGTTATAGTATAGAGAATTTCACCTTAATCTGAAAAAAGAACAAGAATTTCCTTATTCAATTTTGTTTATGAGAGACTTCGTTTCTATTACAATACATGACTTTGACTCATGCACTTTGTACTGCTTGTGACTTGCGTCTCAGCGACTGTAGTTAGTAGGCAGTTATTGTGCCTGAAATGACTGATGTGCAAACCTAGTGAAAAACGACGTAGTTTCTCCATTTCAACTACTTCGTGAGTGATTATTTCTAACGGCATCTTTATCCCTTATTTTTGTATATAGTTGTCACGTGCATTTGTAAAATGTTTAAGAGTATAATAGTCGTTAGATGTCGCTATTTGTGTTATGTAAACACATTTATGTCAACAAGTAGAAATTGTTAATTAATTATTTATGTTATGTCAACAAGTAGAAAATGTGTTTCAGATTCATCCTATTGTCGATCTGAAAGGAGTGGGGCAAAATCTGCAGGATCACGTGGCTTTGCCAGGACTAACTTGGTTCATCACGAAGAACTCAGGCAACGCTGTGCAGCTGATACTCACTCCTGAGGCACGCAGAGCCTACCGCACCAAAAGGAACGGTGAGCGAAGAGTGATCATTTATAAAAAATGTTACAAGAAAAATAGTTTCGCAGATATTTCTTGACTGGAGATGTTAGCACTCCTTTACAACCTTCTTGCTTCCAGGTCCACTGAGCGTGCCAATGGGATTTGTTGGCATTTATATGGTTAATTTGGGTGTGGATCCTGATCCAAGTGTACAAGATGTGCAATATCGGTTCCTGTCCGTGACGTTGGGAGCAGATTTCGGTCTAGTGGTCGCACCTAATTACGGGTATACTGATGAGGTGAGTTCGAAGTCATTATATTTAGCTGCAAGTATCCTTGTGAAAGATTTTTAGCATAGTAAAATCTGTTATTCTACAAAAAACCTAGACCTGACATTCGAAATTTTTAACCGAATTTGATGAATTAATTAAATAATTTCTAAACGAAATAGATCAACTCTTCGCTCACTCACAAAATTCTGCAACAACAGCAAATGTGACTAGATAAATAAGCGGCAGAAATTAAAGATATTTTACTATTCATGAGGCTGAAGATGCAGACAACACATTCGATAGGATTACAATACACTGTTCAAATGATTTATTAACTTAGAATCTTATGTAATGATCAGTAGTTTGGATCTTGTTGAGGGATGAATCCTGTAGCACTAGCAAAATTGTGAGTTGACACGAGTCATTTCTGCTCCCTCACGATAACTTCTCTTGCTACAATGTTTCCCAGTTAATTCGAGACTATGTGAAGAAGCAAGGAGGAAGAAGAGGGTTCATGATATTCATGGGAGTGATGCGGCCAGCAAGTCGCGGCTCTGTCACGCTGCGCTCCAAAAATCCTCTGGACCCTCCGGTGATCGATCCCAACTTTTTAAGCAATTCTGCCGACGTGGATAGCCTCCTGAAATGTGAGGATTGAGGAGACAATAATAATGGTCGTTTTGTAAAATGTTAGTTGTTGGCAATAGTTCGTCGCGGTTTTTTCTGCTTTGATTACGCAAGCTTCCAAACTTTAAGACAGGGTCTCAAACTCATTTTAATGAGGATCGCAGTGCAAAGTAACGGCAGTCAGCGGGCCGCACCACGGAAAGAAAATGTTATTAAAATTTAACTGTTAAAATAATGTTTGTATGATTTTTAATTGTAATTAGTGTAGTTTACACTCTTCTACAACCTGGCCTTCAGTGATTGTTTGTGATGCCTTTGCTATCATCTCGCTAACAACAAAGCTTGTTTTCACAAAATCTTCGCTTGCTGTGTTCACTCGTGCAAAGCAGTTTCCTTATTGCTGAAAGATGCTAGCAAGTGACTGACTTTTTCCTCGCACAGTTTGCCGGACTGTCCATCATACTCTTCTCGATGCGATGTTTCATAATGTCGACGTGTGTTGTATTCCTTGGGCATAGAGGTGCATTGCATAAAGCTGAGTTTCTCGCCGACTTGTGACAAAATACAAATTTTCCAACTTTTCCTGGAACACCCTTTTCCATACGCAATTTTTCACTTTTTGGACGACCACATCCTCTGACTTCAAATCCTCCTAAACACTACACGAAAAATTAGAAATTCTTAAAAAAATACAGTCCTTCACCAAGAAGCACGCAAAACTTGGTCCACCATCAAAACATATGATCCCCAACTCTTCAATTAACTCACATTCCCCCCAGGCGCCATAGCAAGGCAGCACCGGTTATTCAAAAGCTCCAAATTACACCCTATATAGGTCCCCCACCTCCACCCCTGTACAATTAACTACATAAGGCTTGGAAGCTTCACGATCTTTAATCTTTCTTCATAAGGCTTGCCTTTCATGATCTAGATAGCAGGTATTAAAAAGTAGAGATTTTAAGTTATTCAAAGATGTTAATTAAATAATAATTATAAATGCTTCGTGTCAGCCATTCGATACGTGATGGTCCTCGGCAACACTACGGCACTGAGGGAGGGCTTGGGCGCTAAATTTTTTGATCAGGTGAGAATAAATATGCTGTTAGTGCAAGTAATATAAGTTGAGACATCAGGCTTTAAATACAAGCTTTTATTATTTATTTCTAGGATCATCAATAAAATTGATCCACTTTAATTGTGTTGGGATAAAAAATTTAATACAAGGAGTTTAATAAAGTTGAAACCCATTTCGATCGTTAGGGCATTATTCTATCAAGAACGCTAATGCCAAGATATCCTACGTCCTCCCACGTTTTCTATAAAGATATGAATTTTTGTGGACTTTTCTTTGCTTTTAAATTCTTAGTTAATTTGCGATTTAAGCAAACAAGTGATATAAATTCATCCTACACCAAATTGAATCTGTTGAGGAATGCGTATATAGCTGTGAGTGATCACTAATGAACGTCCCTCAAAATGAGCGATCCTCACAGTCAACGCATGATCCAGCACATGATCCAACATAAGATATCGGCATATAGAAAGTAATGGCGCCGATTTTACATCACTATAGGCACTGTTTTTCAATGGCATTTTCTCTGCAGAAAGTTCTAGGGTGCAAGCATTTAGCGCACGACTCCGACGACTACTGGCGCTGCTACATCCGCCACATGGCGGGGTCTGGTGCCCACCCCAGCAGCACATGCAAGATGGCCCCCTCATCTGACCCTGATGGCGTCGTCTCGCCGAGGCTAAAGTGAGTCCTTATATCCTTAGTATATGTTTCGGACGCTATCCTTAGTATATGTTTCGGACGCTATCCTTAGTATATGTTTCGGACGCTATCCTTAGTATATGTTTCGGACGCTATCCTTAGTATATGTTTCGGACGCTATCCTTAGTATATGTTTCGGACGCNGGACCAAGCCTAATGACCCAAACACCCAATTGGAAGTTAGATGTGTATAAGAGACAGGGCAGGACATTCGTCATCGACGCTGAGTCCCGGCTAGCCAGTCCGTAACTATCGCGCATCTGCAGTCTCATGTCGTGCATCACTATTTCCATCTCATGACCGCCCGATACGCATATTGTGTTTACTAAACGCAGTATGTTCCCTGGTGTTCATAGGATGTACCTACATATGGTCAGGAACTGGTCTTCGGTGGATAGTATTTAAAAAATACTCGTCCTCCTTTGAATTATTCATCTCTATGGTATCATAAAATCAAGGAAACTAAATCATTACTAGAAAGTTAACATGAAAAAAAAGTTGCTTTAACAAACAATATTCTTCACAATAACGAATGTAAAGAGGGAGTTGAGAGAAAGAACAGGCTCCAGCATGCATGCTACTGTTTCTATAGCTTACTGCGGTCTGACTACGGTCTATGTTGCGGAAATTAAGACCCGGTTCCTCGTTAAAATTTACGAACTTTCATTATAGACCATGTTCGCCCGGTCAGCCAGTAAAAGGCTAATAATTACTACTTATTTCGAACACATAATGACCGATAAACGAGCACAAATTCGTTCTAATTTTTTGTCCTTTATACTGTGCCAAATATGCCAAATGTCGGCCAAATGTTATGTCGGCCAAATGTTACTGCCAAATGTCGGCCAAATGAAATGTTATGTCGGCCAAATGTTACTGCCAAATGTTACTGTGGACGATATGTTAGCGAAGCAATATCGTCAAATTCCCCCATACCATCAAATCTCAACAGGTTGTTGCGAATTCTTATTCTGGGTTTCCTATAAAAGGTAAACTACAGTAGAATTCTATACAAGGGAAATAAGAATTCGCATCGAAATCAGCGACTAGCATTCCAAAGCACTCAACTTGACGCTCTGTCGGAGCCCGCAACCTGATGACGCTGTAAGAGGAAGACTGTATATCGAAACTAAACTCTAGCAAAATACTAATATTAAATCCAAATCATCTCTACAATAATATTCTTGCTTGCTAATCAACTCATTACTCTAACCAATGAAAATATTGGTTAACGCCAGCATTATTTTTCGCAACTTTCCTAGCCGATCAAAAGATTACAAACATTCTTTCTGTAACTAGCATTCGGGTAGCATTATTTTTAGCATTATCTTCCAGTATCTAAAGCAATAGGGAGTCGAAAAAATCACGTTCAAAATTGATATTTTGGGTAAATACACATTTCCTGTCAAATATGCGAAAGAGCCGCGCAATCAACGTCTCATGGCATCAAACAAAGATAAGCAAATAATATGTTAGGTCACACTTCCGCGATGTCGTGCTGATCATCATATTTTGCCTCTGAAGTGACAGTCTTACGGCCAACGAGAGCGTCGCATATACGCGAGTCCTTCAGCGCCTGTATGCATTAGCATACTTGGGGACTTAAGAGACAAACTTCCAATCATAATCAAGACCGTAAACTTTCCATTATTAATCACCATGACCTTTTAAAAGAAAATTGCTTTCAGTTATTGCGTGCGTAGTACCAATTAAACACTCATTACGGTGCTCGCATCACTTATAACGATTTAGGCATGAAGAACGGCAGAACTGCTAAGTCGCCCAATCAGTCCGGCTTCATTTGTTAGAGTAATTTAGTATAAAATAATAATAGCTTCTGGGCTATATACATATTAAAAGCATACCAGACCAACCAAAAATAATCTTAACTAATACCCGAGCACTAATTCCAATTAATTGTCCAAATCAGAGTGCGGGGCGTGGCTGGTCTTCGTGTCATCGATGCGTCCATCATGCCTCTCATTACAGGCAGTGAGTACAAGCATTTATTGTGCCTTGTTTAAAGAAACGAGCAACATCATTGAGTGTAGAGCAGTAACGTTTATTCTGAAATTCATTATTTTTCAAAACAAAATGAGTTTTATCTACTAGTAGCATGCTGACATTGTCCTACGTAAATGATCATAGATGCAACCGCAAAACTAATTGCAGCAAGAAATTCTGCATACAAGTTCACTTGATGATCATTCTAAATGCATTTAGAACTCTTCCATACAAGTAGACTTGATGGTTGTTCTAAATGCATTCAGAACTCTTGCATACAAGTAGACTTGATGGTTGTTCTAAATGCATTGGAACTCTTGCATACAAGTAGACTTGATGGTCGCTCTAAATGAAGCAAGAACTTCTTCAAAGCAAAAAGTAATATTCATATGAATTTTGCCTGCACCCACAGCAAACCTCGCCGCTCCCACCATGATGATCGGAGAGAAGGGCGCTTCTCTCATCAAAGAGGACTGGAGCTACGGGGACTGAGGCTACGGGGACTGAGGCTACGAGGACTGGGGCTACGGGGACTGAGGCTACGGGGACTGGGACTACGGGGACTGGGGCTACGAGGGCTGGGGCTACAGGAACATATCTTATATACATATATGCATAGATATAAAATAAGAGTTATATATATGCATAACTCTTAGCATGAATATCTTCCATGTAGCGCACCATAGCTGAGCACTTCATTTGATAACGTCTTTAATTAAATGGCGATCCACCGTGTCGATATCTTCCCATTTAAATGATTGAAGAAAAATAGTTTTTTTCTGTCCCCTATAAATCTCTGACTGATTTTATTGATACTTCCTTCGAGGATAGCACAATTTTAAATAAGTTGCTTAATTAGCCAATTTTTCGATGTAATGAAGTTTAGTTTTAAGAATTTTGAAGCAGATGTTCTGGCAACATCAACCAAAGTATTCGAAGGACTTGTCGTACGGTTTGGTCATTCGTTGATCCTTACTGAAGACAGCCGCTTGTGTTCTTACTCTTGGTAAGCGTCTAGGTTCTCTGATTTGTAATAGAATAACTGTGAGAATATGTTTAGAATATTGTGTACTTATCTAGTTATTAGTGTTTAATTAATTTAATGAAATGCGTGTTCATTTGTAGGAGAACTTCCCTCCTCTGTTCTGCTGTTCTACTTTAATAAACTTGGAACTTGGACCAAGCCTAATGACCCAAACACCCAATTGGAAGTTACCGTTAATGAATCAATAAACCCGTCTGTTTGAACCTGAACGAATAGAAACATTACACTCGACATGGCTTGTTTCGCATAACAAAAGTGAATTTCAGTTTAGCTGCGAAAAAAATGCATTGGGAAATGCGAGGGAAGTTTTTGAAGGAAATGAATGTGGGGAAAGTGCGTGGAGTTCACTGGGAGAATATGTGGAAAATGATTGGCCCACACTTTGAAATTATTACGTAAATGGAAAATACGTGCATAAATTTAATAAATGATATATGAAAATTGCTTTAAATTCATTTGGAATGCTTGATATCTCTATAGCGAATGGCATCAAATATCATGAAAGATACCTAAAATATACATATAATAGTTGAAAAATATTTATTAAAATATTTGGGAGATCTGTGCAGCAGTTCATTTTCAGAGGGTCGGGTAAATTGAAATAGTGCTACCGCTGCGCGCAGAATCAGAAATAAAGAAGAAAGGGTTATTGTAACCGTGCAATAAGGCTTCAGACATACGCTCTTTCATACTGTAAATTGATACAATCTTGGAGCAATCAATCACGATCGAGAAATAACCGAATAAACAATGAAACAATTTCTAATGGAACAGTCACAACAATCTACCAAAATCAGATGAACAGAGGCTACAAAGTAGATAACCGAGTTTTTTATACAGTCAAGTTCAATATATTTATTGATTAGAATACATATATTTTTTACTTAAATATATATTTCAGTGCAGCAAATAAAATCTATATTTTTTGGCCAATTATTTTCAAATTATTGACAAATCATCGTTTGAAACGAAGAGATCAGAAACATAATTTCTCGACAACATAACTGAATCGTATTTTCTGNTAAAAATGTGACATAATACATAGAAATATGCTAATTAGGAAGGATATTTTCATAAAGAATACTGCTTTTGCTCTTGATGCTGCTGCATTTTATGAAAAGCTGTAGGATTAATTCGGAATTACATTAAATTGAAATACAAGGCTGCATTCTCGGAGGCTAGGGTAGTCGCATTCGCTCCGCTTTCCGTCTGATGCAGTTTGAGGAATAGCAGATTTTACCGTGTTCTCTAATCTATCTTAATGTTTACTGATGCTTACGCCCGTGTGGATGTATGTAAATTAATGCAATTAACTTGCATTAGTTATAAGTTAGTCTTACCAATCGTAAGATGCGGGGTAGAACGAGTTACGTGTACCTTTGGAGCCGCGCTGATAAGTGTCTGGTTTGTGCTAGTGTTTCTGGATATGTGGTTCTGAACTTCTGGAAGTAGGATATGTGGTTCTGGAAGTACGATATGTGGTTGACAAGAAATGACGAAGTGTAATTTCTCGACAACATAACTGAATCGTATTTTCTGTTTATTGGATCAGCACTCTTGTTTTTTTTGGAAGAATTTTAAAATGCATTGCACGTAATTTCAAATCCAGAGTGTTTCTCAATTATTTAACATGCTCCGTTTTCTCTTGCGGTAATTAATTTCGCAAAAGAAATTAATTCCACCAGAGCCCGTTCAATAATAAGCCATGATATTATAATATTAGCCATTTTAATTAATCGTCGTTCTTAGAAGAAGCTGTAGGTGAAATTGCTTCATTACCCACGGAACGTAGAACCCTGCTGCAGCGCAATGCTCGGGAAGCGGTAATGTGATGTTAGAAAGTGTCATACAAGGCGCCAGAAGCGTAGTGACAGAAAAATGCCTGGATACGGCAGTAAACGGCTTTAGCTAGGAAGAGGGGCATTTTTGCCTTATCTTGAAGACCTTGAGTCCAGTTCGGACTGAATATTGTGCAATCGATGCGGTCTCATCTCTTGATATATAATACATTTCTCGTTTAGGGTAACATGGGCAGCGAGCCCACTACGGGTCATGGGCCCATAGCGGGTTTCTCGCTAAGTAAGGCAGATATTGGTCCGTGTTCTCTACCGCCGGTCGACAGTTTCACTGGGCTGAAGTGTACGGATTTACGTTTTGCTAAGATTGGGTTGTTAAATTATTTGTGAATAACTGTTTTAGCCCAGATAGAAGTTTTTTCTGCTAAATAAAACTGTTTTCGATTACTGTAGATGAAGCTTTTAAAATTACTGTGAATTATATTTTGAAAGTAATATTTGTAGGGATAATTTTAAGTTCAAGTTTAGACTGTTAGCTTTTATAATAAAATGTTGACACGTATATAAATTGAAATTATACCTAGTGGGGCAACGGGCCTACGCGTGTCACGGGGAAAAGCGCCCATGGTGAAGTCTTGTGTTATGCATCATTAGATTTGTCTCAATGACCTTTTCAAAACTATGACTAGCTTTTTGAATTACAAATTACACTTCATATTGCATGATTTATGATTTTTTGATTTGCCGCCTGAAGGCAGCAGGTTTAGTTTCTAGTTATGCGTATTTATGACCCCTTTTCGAGTTATTGGTGCATGCCTTGCCAAAAGTTGATCTTGAATGTCATCTTTTTTATTATAAAGTCATCATTATAGTTGAATGTCATCTTTTTTATTATATTTTTCTTATTTTTAACTGTGTGTTATTTTAGTATTTCTAAACGAAAAATATGCAATTGTGGTAAAAGGACCAAGGGATTGCAAAAAGGACCCCAAGCCCATGGGCCCATTGCCCCCGCGGTGCAGGCAATGGGCCCATTTTGACACTTTTTACAAAATAGTGTTTCGTTAAAAATTGAATAAATCTACAGGCATCTAATTCACACCATAAATTCCTCAAACTTCATCAAAAATTTAGTTAAAAAAGGGGGGGGGGCGCTGCCCCATGTTGCCTATATAGAAGGCAGTGTGGAACGTATAGTGCGGCTGTAATCCATGAAACTGTATTACCTGTTCGATTTGTTATTTTGCCTTCAAATGATCGTAAGAAGGATAATTAGTTTTCGCGTGACGAAACCAACACTTGTGAGCGAATGTGTATACAGAATTAATACTAATGGATTTTGGCAAACTTCTCCAATGGTTGGCTGATAGCGTGTTTGTCCTTGAAATTTAGTTGTTAGTACTTGAATTCAATAGAAATTGTACCTTGTACTTATTATTTTGGTTAATGAATGCTGCAATGCATAATATGTTTCTTCTAACTTGCAATAAAAAATACATACGATTCAAAAAGTAGTTTGCCCTGCTTGATGTTAAGTGGCTTAGGTAGGGGGCCATTTCTTTCATCGGGATTTAACGAAAGTGGCCATAAATCTAACCACCATACAGCCTTTTTCTGCAGTTATAAGTGACCTTGAATCATCATGAAATTCGGGTGTTTAAAGGTCAACTTGTTGATGAAGTAAGAGTCTGTTACTGACTTGTTTAAAGGTCAACGGGGTCAAGTTACAAACAGGGATGGTTAATTCGAGTCTAAAAGTTATTGTTGGCACGTTAAATTTATATTTTGGTTGCAACTAAAAAATAATTTACCAACAAGAAACTGCTGTTGGTGCTCTGCTGATAACTTAGCTTGTTGGGCCCCATAAAAGGTTCTAACCCACAGAGCTACACCTCTACTGCACTGCTCTTCGTTTAAGTTATGAAAGCAATCAAAACCTGGCAGCTGAAATTCAGCTGGTACAATTTTACCCCGTGATTCTTAGGAAGTGTCTCAGTAATACAAATAATGTCAATACACTCGTTTGCGATCATAGTTAACAGTTCATTTTTTTGTTAAAAACGGAATCAGAGTTCGTGTAGAAAAATTTCAAAACTTTTTGTGCACTTCCATCTTGATGTATGAGTAAGCTTTTTACCTTATTTACAGAACTTGATTTATGTACATGATTTCCACTATTTAATTGTCTTCCATCTCCCGTGACTGTCGGCGAGCGGTCTGAGTCCTCGTGAGATCTTGAATGTTGGTGACGTGCTGATTTTCCGTGTTTCTGCGTCTGTTTCGCTCCTGCCATTTCTTGCGGAAATCCTCCCTCTCTCAAGGAGTTGAATCCTTCTTCACAACGTCCTTCTTCACATTCCACGTCTGTTTAATTTAATCGTTGAATGCAACGTCATTAACGAATGTCTCATTATAAGTTTTATATTTTCTAAAAGGTAAGTGTTCCCTTCAAATTTTAAATGTTTGCAAACTCCATTAAGTCATTATGTACAAACAGACAGGAGTTGGAACACTTCGCTATTCAGCAACTCACCTTGAATAGTGGCTATACTAAGATTTGAATCCGGGTACAAACTCTTTTCTACGATTAATACTGCTTTGTTATCTTTAGTGGCACTTCAATTCAAAGCGTTCAATAGCTTAGTAGTTATGATCTACGGTGACCGCAATTAAAAATCTTCATAATGGGACATGTATTCTAACAATTTTGAAAATATTCGTGAAAGAAAAAAATTGATGGAAACCCATGTAATTTATAAATCATAGATTCCCTTCAAATTTTAAATGTTTGCAAACTCCATTACGTCATTATGTACGAACAGACAGGAGTTGGAATACTTCGCTATTCAGCAACTCATAGGGGCTATACTAAGAATAATTGAATAGTTGCTATACTAAGATTTGAATCCGGGTACAAACTCTTTTCTACGATTAATACTGCTTTGTTATCTTTAGTGGCACTTCAATTCAAAGCGTTCAATGGCTTATAGTAGTTATGATCTACAGCTAGTGACCTCAATTAAAAATCTTCATAAGGGGACATGTATTCTAACAATTTTGAAAATATTCGTGAAAGAAAAAAATTGATGGAAACCCATGTAATTTATAAATAATAGAAATCTAGTTATGCGAATATTCAATTGTGTGTCGCGTAGTTCTGTTTCCTGACAATCTAATGGCTGATCAACTTGATCTTCTCTCCTGTTAATGAAGGTTCCACTGTGGTTGAAAAACACTCACTCCTTCAAATTGCAGCTTCGAGCACGAAGTCACAAGCTACGTACACTGCGTATGATTAATAATTTGTGCTAGACGGATACAATTTAATTGCAATGACGTCTTCACGGTGTGCATCAAATTATTAATAGAAAGATTTTAAGACCTCATTAGTCGGTGACTTGGATTGTTGATAGAAAACACAGCAACCTTTAACTTATAGCGCTGCTCCGTAAAACTTTTCTGAGGAAAAATGTGCAATAATAATACGATTTTTATATTATTGTAATCATTATTATCTTGACTTCTTTTAAATTTTTCACTTAAAAATACAGCTAAGAGGTGATAAATTTCATAAAGCAGAATAAAAAATAACATTCATTGCAATTTTGCTTGTGCGCAGCACTCATTAGTTAAAAAAATAAATTTGAGGCAGTACGTGAATTCAGATAAACATTTTAATGAGAATGAAACAATAATGTAAAGTAAATTCGAGTCTTCTGCGCAGTCATGAAGCTTCTCTTCTTAGCCAAAAGTGAACGCATCTGAAAAAGTTGTTCAGGTGCCGAATAGGCGATAACATACTGTATATAGTTTGTAATTCAAAGTCTAGGTTGAAACTAGAAACTAGTTAAGAAAGAGAGTTCTGATGCCTTATGTAAACATAATTACTTTAAGTTACAATTATAGGAGTATTCGTTATTCTTAGAGTGATCCTCTGACCATGAAGATGATAGTATTAGAGCTCTAGAGATTAGAGCATGTATGATGGAGGTGAAATAATGATGGTTTCTACCTATTGCGACCCACAAGTAAGCAAAAATTATTATTTTTGGTAAAATTGAGAAATATATGCATATAAACAGTATATAGGCTTTACCCCATAATTTCTCATGCTTCTCTATATTATTGAAGATTTTGTAGAGCTTTGAAACTTGGAAAATATATTCTAAAGACGTTTTTATGATCATTTTTACCCATTGTGACCCCTAAAAACTCTATCTGAATTTTATAAGGGAAAATTTTCATACACGTGTAATTTTTTCATATTTTTTAAAAATCCAAAAGATCCTTGAATCATGAAGGAATCAACCTTGCCGTCCAGAATTTTGCACACATCTTTTTCTGCTCATCCGCATATCTTTTTCGCATTATTGCGAAATCGAACTCAAAAAATTGAGAAGCGCTCTACCCTATTGTCCAAGGAAGCCTCAATTCCAATTAATTTTTGAGGCATTTCCTGGGAGGCTTATTTGTGGAATGAGCCATATTGTGAAAGTAATTACTTGATCAAGTGCAAAGTTAGGCTGATCGAAATCAAACGCAACTGTGGCTAATTCAGTACGACATAAGACTATATTCCGTCCCTCGCAATTTTTCTGTTCAACTGTTAAATTTTTTTCTCTTGAACTTCATGACATTTATTGTAATTTTAGCTTTACAATTCGCGAGTTTGCCTACATCTAAGCTTCTATATGAAGATCAGACACATCCATTCAAAAACTCCGATGTTAAATTTAAAAAAAAAAGATTAAAGAGTTTTCAATTGAAGATTAATGATATGAGGTAGTTTGACTAGTCATGATCGAAAATCTAGTCATGATCGACTAATCATGATTGAAAGTTCAATACGTAGAATTCCAATGCGAAAAAGTTTTTTGTGACATCGCATTTCTATGTCACTTAATTTAGCATCTTAATTCTGAATCGAAGCCAAAAAATCGAATTTATATGATAGAGTTCTATTATGAATACTAATTTTTCAAAAATGATCTATTAATTTACTGCAAATTTTTATTGCAAAATAACTCAGAATTGAATTGTTACTACTTAAGTGTATCAGACCTTAATTTCCAACAGTCCAACTGATGGCTCGCATGAAGCTTACGTTCTTAGTCATCATCTTGACTCAAGTGGTTGAACATCTGCCAGTTGACATCTATAACTCTACGTTCGAATAGACGGTAGAGGCCAGTGTTGTGTGTGGAAATATTCGATTTTTCATGATAAACTCGGTTCTATTGACTCCCATAATATATAAATCTTTCTTTATAGCACGTAAAAAGGGAGGACGAGATTCTCTAACTCTAGGCCAGTGTTGTGTGTGGAAATATTCGATTTTTCATGATAAACTCGGTTCTATTGACTCCCATAATATATAAATCTTTCTTTATAGCACGTAAAAAGGGAGGACGAGATTCTCTAACGATGGAGTTATTGACAAAGAAAAGGTAGATACAATAACTGCAGAGAACAATGATTTTGAAAATAAGACTTTCGGGGTGATTAAAAACTGAACATTATTTTCGGTACAATATTTTTACATTCAAATGAATGCCTTTTTTGCTACAAGGTTTCCGAGCTTTCCATACACCTTCGTAAGTCAGTAACAAGTTTCTGATTACGGTCACTTTTCAGTACTGAAAAACCAATGTTCAATTGATGTTATACGAATGACTGCAATTTGGTATGAATTTCAAGACATCGAATTGAAAATGGTTGTCACGGCAATATAATCTTAGCACAGATGCTATAAAGCGTGGCATATAGGAACAAAACATACAAGATGATCCCGTGGGTGTGTGGTATCGACAATATATTTCAGCACAAAATCTTAGTGCAAAAAGGTTGGTCCCCCGACATAGTGATAAATGTACATCGATGCGATGTTTTTTCACGTTTACCTCCAATATTTAAGACATACAAGACTTGTAGTCGAAGTAAACTAGCTGCCGGACAGCAGTCCAATTTCTGAATAAACACGTGCCATAGAAGAATGGGTCTCTCAAATAATTTTTTTTATAAAATCTGTCCTACTTTGACACATAATTACGATGAATAAATTGGTGCAATATTACATCGAATATGATGTTGGGGACTAATCAATATATAGGTTTTCTTTTACCCCATGACATTTGACCCATGATCGAAAATGAAGGACGAATAAAATGGGAAATGAAGAACCATAATAATAAATAAACGATAAACACAAGAAAACAATGTTTTCTTTTGTTTAAATGAGAAAACAAGACCCATAAACCGTGTTTCTTGCTAGCTCTTGACTATTAATTCCTAATCATATCACAGGGACGGAGCCCCGCTGAAAAGGCACAAATAAAAACAAATCAAGGACTTTAATTAACACAACACCAACGAATGAATATAGCACAGATAAATAATAAAATGACATAAATAATAAATTCAATATCACCAGAAAGGCCACCACTACAATAACACGGAAGATTATCACTATAAACAATACAAGTACTAACCTCTGTGGTGGATCACATAGCAATGACAGGGTACAGAGCGGGTCTAAACCAGGTGACTTAAACTTCACTCAAAAACAAAATGATAATACACGTAACCTAACTATCGATGAAATTATTATATTGAAAGGCGTTCCCTAACAAAAACAGCAATATTAGGAAAGTTTTCGAAATCTTAATGCTAGAAATGCTTTCCTCAAAACAATTTCAACAATTTCAGAGAAAAATCTGAATTATCTGATGCATGAGTAGTGCTCTCGCACCTTACACTAAGGAGTTCAAAATAACTCTAGATTAGTATGATTACTTGAAATTTTTTAATAAATGATATACCGACATGATTTTATCTGAATAGAAGACCTAAACGTGTATCGTTCACCATTTCTCAAATGCACATTCGTGAGTTTTACCGTAAGCGTCGGTGTCCAATAACTGCAGAGATTGCACCGTTGCTATATCAAACTTTGCTTGCTAAGGAAAATGTGTTGAAGTTCTTTGAATTGCATTTTATAACAAATAAATTTTGATCATCCTATAGAGAAGGGATGAAGTTTTTCAACGAATTATACGTACACCATTGACCAGTCAAAACCTAATTTCGAAATAGTCAGCCATTTGTATAATCGTTCCCAAATAAATCATAAACAGTCTGCGAACTCAGTATTGGGCATATCTTGAATTCCAAATGAATCATGGCGTCATTTTGAATTTATATTTAAATTAAAACAATCACGTAGGTTACGAAAAGTTCGTAACGTACCAATTGGCAAACTCGCATACAAGTTAGCGTGCACATGGTGCACAATATTATATATGTAAGAAGTGAAAGTAAATTAAGACTGAAAATATGCATGCGTCTGGAAAAAAGTTTTTTTGGAGTATTGTTTTGGTAATTTTCATTTGTAATGTACGGGCTTAATAAAAGTCAATATTCTCTCTGAAGTTCTGGCCGATTAGCGGCCGCATATCAACCATTGTTTTTATTCATACAGACATCAACTAGCTATCTGATCGATAGCAGTGTATATTAATAGTCTGCCAGAGTGACGTAAATTGATTACAAAGTTTGAAAATATTGTCTTGGCATTTATAGACTTTTTGGTAGCCATATAATCTAAAAATAATCGCATCTCAAACGTTGCAGAGATTAATTTGAACTTTTAATGTGGTTTACTGTATAAACTTGAACATATTTCCACTTTTAAGAAAAAAATCCAAATTGTCTGGTATATTCTCAGACAATTTCGTAGCGAGGATATAATTGTAAATAAGTATATTGTTATTAATTAAGATCAGACGAGTTAACGCTATCTTGTTTTGGAAAAATGAGCATTCCAACACAAGTATCTGGTAAATGGCGAACAAAATCCTGAGATTTCTAATTATGCAAAAAAAACATATGTCAATCAAGATTAAATGAAAAGGACTCTTCCACTCCCCATGCCGCCACTCTTCCATTCCCCCCTTTTCATTACTCGTCCAAGTTCCGTTTTACTTTAAATCTTTCTCATATTCATTTATCTTTTTTTAATTCTTTTACTGCAAATTCTCTGGGATCATATTTGTACACTTCATTCTCCCCATCCTCACTTCACCCTCCCCATCCACACAGTATATATGGAGAGTGCGATCACATGTCATCGTATTGAGACATCTTCTCTTGTCAACTGGTCAAGGTGAGCTCTGAGATCCAGCGCCTTTAATGATTGTCTGCCTTAGAATTTAAGGAGGAATTGACGGTTGTGTTGTTTATCCGCACGGCTGTTACAATTTTCGTGTCGATCGTTACTGTTTTCGGCAGTTACTATAAGATATTTCATTTTATTGGGTGCTTATCTCGATGTTAGGGAATCATGTCACATACAGTATGCATTGTGGCTCAAAGTGAATTCATATTATTGTATGTGTTTTTTTTATTGACTTTGACAACCCCTACTTGGCGTGGAATTCACCAGCGAAATTTAGGTTCAACGGCTGTCAATAATTCTTCATATACTATTATTCTTGTATTGCATTTATATTCACGGTCACAAAAAGTTTTCTGACTCGTGACTCATCTCGTCTAAAGTTGTATTTTTTCTTGTTTATGTTCATGGCACTAAGTTGATAAGATACGGCCGGAAAAGGACGACATACAAAAAAACAATCGTTTCAACTAACGATTGTTTTTGTTAATTGTTTCAACGAATGAATTAATGTGCATTGACTGCATTGAAAGTGAAGTGATGAATAGCATGAGCGAGCCCAGGCCAGCAATAATTTTTTTGTTTATCACATTCATTATTAATAAAATAATGAGAAGAACGAACGTAGGGAGCAAGTAAAGCATTTCATTTCAGCATTCATGTTAGGTTATATACTTCCATTCTGTTCGAAGCTCACGATTTGGTAGAATTTACATCAACAGGAGAGAAACATTAGTTTTATGCGTAGTTGATATACTTACAATAGATTGCCACAGAGGGCATCTTATAATCTGACCTGTATTTCTTCCAAAAAGTCTCTGTTATAATATAATTGTAATACAATTATAATATAATTATAATATACTTTTTATATTATTTAATATATGCAAAAAGTCTGTCGTTTTTCAATATAAAAATTTTTCATATATATTCATACATGGTTACATTAGTTATAATAATATCATTTGCTAAGAAATAACACCGGCGATCGTCATTGCAAGTTTAGAACTAACTTTTCTGCTCGTCAAAAATCGTATCGTTCATTCAGCATGATTACGCCAATTAATTGGAATGAACTAAGTTCAAAATTTAATACGATATCTTAACCGATCGTTTTATTTTCTTTAACAGTTTCAGCGAAGGTTGTCAAAATGGTTCGTCGGGAGACGCTTCAAACGTTCCTGACGCTCTGCCTCTGCTTGGTGAACATCGATGCCGCTCCAGTGGTACGGTTCCTCTTCGAAATATTTGTATTGCTTCATGTTCAAACTGTTCATTTTTAAGCAAAACTTCAAAAAGATAAATTGCGCATTCTGGGCTGGAAAATTTCTACGGAAATAATAGAAATACACTACGTGCAAAATAATAGTGTGCAGTGTTTCAAAGAACCCATTAATAAACACGATAAAATACGTGCGAAAATTCTTCAAAAGATAGAAGTAAGTTGTCTGTAAATAAAATTCCTGCCACTTGCAATATTGCAATATTTCAAAAAATAGAGTAAAGGTGCATCAGTAGATATTCATTTAATAACATATGCTGCGATATAGAATCAACTGAATTTATTGCAGCTCGAAGTAGTGGTGTACTTTCTCAAACTTCACACAATACGGAGGTTTCTACAGGTAAATGAATTATATTTAATTTTAATATGAATTTTAATATTACAATGCACTTAGTTTAATTTAAATTTTTTCCAGGATGTGCATCGCCGAGCAGACGGATCCGTTTTGATAGACGACATCCTGTATTCTGCGGAGCAATGGGACAGTTTTCTTGATAAAAACTTGGTATCAATGGAAAGGCTTTGGCCGAAAAAGGACGGAGTTGTGAATATTTTCTACAAAATATCTGATCGTGAGTCTCTACGAGCTTAAAGCGTTGCAAAATCAACTGCATTGACTGCAGTTTTGGTCGCCTTTTTCATTTTCCTATCGCATTGAAATAGCAGGCGAATGCCACAATCGATGCACAGCAAAAAATGAATGAAATTCGAGAATCATTTTTGACAAATTATTTTTGAATCACGTCTTTCTGAATCTGATCAACCAGAATCCAATTAAAAACTTCGAAACTAAACAGTCCGAAAATAAAGAAGGGCATGGACAAACCCTTATTCTGCATGGAACTCTTATTTACGTACAATTTTGACCACTGAACTTTTTATTCAGGCTTGAAACAAACAAATTCTGACACAAAAACTTGACAAACGAACAAGATCTAATTTTTTTGCTTCTTGCCGTGAACCTTATGAACCTTTTGTTGTACATGTATATTGCTAAAAAAATCAAACAAATGATCTTAATTTTAAGCATTTGATACTGCTACGTGTGAAATAAGGAGATAACGTCTATCACAAGTGTTACTGAGTATTCAACTGTCTCTACCATTAACGGTGTATGAATAAACCTAATATCTGTCTTTTAACCATTTTTTTAACCTTGACTCGGCAGCAAAATTGAACTTGACTGTCTTAAACTTTGCGATCGCTGCCTGGGAGACCAAGACGTGCATCAAGTTCTCGAAGATGGCAGAGTCGGATGAGCGCGCCGAGTACATGGACTTCTTGCTCGATAAAACCTGTCACGCAGGCTTAGGTTACAGGGAGGGCGAACCTACTCCTGTCAGCCTCGCAAAGTGCCCAGTACGTGCCGCTGTGAACGATGAATTATTTATTCTTTTAAGTACATGTTTCGTATGCTTCATCTGTTATCAATATTGTTCGAAGGATAAGCAGCAAGTTAATTACGACCGTCAGCAAAACACTTGTATTTAGAATGCGAGTTAAGTATCAACTTAAGTGGCATTGTCTAAATTATGCATTTATGGTTTAATATAAAAGCAATAACGGATCTATCGTAAGCATAGGCTTATATTTAAAAGATTGTTGAAGGTATCTCTAGCACGGAGACCGTTTTATTCTTGTTAGCAAAATCACTTTCAAATTATTTAAAACTAAATGGGAACTTGGTTTCATATCATAATATCTACAATTAAGCGTTTGGATATTATATATTTCGTTGAATAAGAAGAGTTCTGAAGGAAAATTTATGACTTGACTACTGGATTAGAATCTAGGTTACGTTATTTCATAAGCTAAATGGTTATTTACTTGTAGCAAATGCGTACTAATTTGAACATATAGCCTAGTTTTATGTTTATCGTTATATGTGATATATTGAATGTAAATGCACTTAAATAATTTATCTGCACATCAAGGCTTATCCAAGGTCCAATATTATGACAGTTGTTTTATATTAACAATGAGTTTACGGTGCTTTTATTCACAGGAAAGGGGACCGACTCACGAAATCGGCCACGCATTGGGGATGCATCACGAACAGACACGAAGCGACAGGTTTGTGAGGGTTTACGAACGAGTACGTGATGTATGGAACTGCATGAACTTACCGGTCCATATTAGTAAAGTAGTGATAGCAGCGTAAAATTCCTATCACATTAACGGATCATATAAATACATTGGCCATTATGAAATCTTACCAATAAAAATGCTTCCTAAATAAATATTTGCAAGCGAAATATACACGCATGACCAATATTTCAATTAACTTATGACCTAACATTCACTGTATTCACTTATTATTTCTATTTACACGAGGACGTACTTTACGCATCGACGGCGTTTACAATACTGAACTAAAATGGCTTATTTGGTTAAAGTCACCTTAGATCCTCTCTAATAAAAACTTTATAAATACATCATCGATCCATTCAGTCCTTAACAATGACAATCCATGAAATTTTGTTCCTTCGAAACTTGATGAATACTGACTGCACTACTGCTGGGCGCAACATTGCAGGTCTTTTGGCAGAAATAAAAGAAGATATTCAGCTGCTCAGCAGCCGTCCGCAACATTGACGCATTTCTGTCAGTCCTTCTGCCATCGGGCGATAAAACCATTTGATGCGACGCTCGCCGAAAGTTCCCATTAAATTTTATCCTTAATTATGATATTCTTTACCACGTCACAGCATTTTGCGGTCTCGAACTCGCAACTCACTGCTACAATTCTGCTGTGCTTAACCGCCCGGCCTCCTTGCCGATTCTGACCAGAAACTGGCGCACAGAGCTGGGATCGATCCCGCGCCTCTCTATAAAGCCCCTTTCACACAGGGCAGTAAATACTGCCAGCCTCCGACGGTATTTACCGCCGAACCTTAGCGGACATACGATATGTGCACTGCTGTTCACACACGACTGCTTTTACCGCGGCGTAGAACTTGACGCCTGATGCCAGCGTGTGTCGCGCTAAAACAGCGGCGGTAGATTTGCCGCGACAGTTTAGCTTGCAATGATATTCAATGTAATCTTTCACACTGGGCGGTTTTTGACGCCACATCCTAGCAGACAGTAGGCCGTATTTTAGATGCATAATAAACAGTACTGCAAGACTGATAGATTATAGACTGATATTGTTACATAAATATTGTTACATAAATATAAAGATATACATTGATAAATATATATTTCCTAAAAGTGATAGAGACATACCTATTTCATAAAAGATATTTTTTCCGTAAAATATATAGGTATTTCCATATAGATGTATTTACATTATTCTCACATAGAGATATATTTGCATATAGAAATATTGTTACATAAACATAGTGATAACCTGATGGTGCATAAAGCACTGCAAGACTGATAGATGCCAGCAGGAAAAAGCGCCTCGTGTGAAAGATTGCGCGGTAAATACTGCCGCGGCTTTTTTGAAGCGCGCAGTATCTACTGCCCCGTGTGAAAGGGGCTTAATGCGTCAATCCTGGTACTCTGAACTTTTAAACCACTGGGCCACCCTGCCCGCCAAGTCATTATAAAATAAGAACAGTATATGTATAATGAGAGCGCGGGTCGAACATTGGGTTTATTCCGCCCTATCGCCTATTGATGTAGTGTTCATGATTTTTATCCAGGAATAAAATGACTGGTCTCTTGAACAGAAGGAATAAAAACGGACTTTTAAGTTCAAGACTATAAAAGTCATCTCGCATGTAAATTTTAACTGACTCGCCTTTGCTATAAAATTTATTTTATTAACTATCGGAAGTGATACTCTAGGGATCCTGGTCAACGGTCGATCAATTTCAAGAACCCCATGCGAGTTTTCGCTGGTGATTTCGATTATTTTTATTAGACCTTTTTATGATCTTTGAGTTCCATGGCCTTTTTCCAAGCTATTTTTTTCATCTCACTCCCAGCAGTTTCTTGATTATCTAGCTCGACGTTTTCCTGCAATCATCCTACCTTTCAGGCCCAAAGCTATTAGCATTGCTGGCGCATATCTTCCCCTTGCTTCTTGCTTTTACTACACTAGTTAAATCTACTCTACTTCAGTGCTCAAATTCGCGCAACTTAAGTAAATCTAAGCTTGGAATGCTCACAGTTGACCATAGCCTCATCATCGTTTTAAGATAGAAGTCTGTAAAATTTACTTATATCTTTTGCGCCTGCTTCAGTGTGACCATTTCATAGTCAACAACATTTATAGCCTCCCTAAACATAACACATTTTAAATTACCTCTAAATTTGTTCCTTGCATCTTTTTGACACGACGGTTGTATTTTCGAATAGTATTTCCTTCTCTGTCCAACCCTCAAGCAAAGGTTGATTAGCACACAAGTTTAAAGCCACTCTATGAATCAGTAAAATAGGACAGGTAATAATTAAAGCGTCTATCAAAACAATAATACCTAGTAAACACAGGCTTAATAAAATTAGATGCAATGAAAGCTGTCACTACTACGCTTTGTTTTCTTACACCGAATTTCACCATTTACGACACTGACTTACATTGAATTCACTGACTCGCACTCTTCTCTCTCTGAGATTTCATGTCAGGCATTTCATTGCTCAATGAAAGTAAAACCTATAAAAGAAGCAACGGAAAAACTCGCACACGAATTTATATAACCAAGAACTCATTTCACTACCGCACTGACTGAAAAATTACTTGTACTTCACATTTTCGTGGAAGTTTTTCAGAATGAAATTTGGCAATACATTTTGGCACAATAATTTTTTTCTTTATTTATTTATNTGCACTACCATGACCGGGTGAGTCATACATGCACTACCATGACCGGGTGAGTCATACATGCACTACCATGACCGGGTGAGTCATTGCAGATCACATGCGAGTGTGGCGCCTGCTAACGTATTTCAGGATCAGCCTTGAAGGACTGGCACATGCGGAGTGGTTACTGGTTTCTATCTCAGATCTTAGTGATCTTACCCAACTGTTACTTTTCTATTACTTGTACTAATGGCAGTGATGCTTTATTAAATGAATGATCACATCAAATTATTCAATCACACATAGAGAAAGAAAATTTCTTCACTTTGCGAAAGAATATCTCGAGGTGCAGCCCGCAGTGCAGAAAGATTGCCTAACGACTAAATTTTAACAAAAGAAAGGTTTTTAAAGAAAGAAATGTTTGCTATGTTAACACTTAATCGCTGCCATTTGAATTCGACTCAAAATAAATGGATTTGTGAAAAAATAAACAGCTCACGGGCAGTTGCAACGATTAAAATACACAATTTAAGCAATTAGGTGAAGGATTAGGCCTTACATTATCATTTTCATTGACTGGCTTTCATGCATTCATCTGAGGACTACAATTTCTGAAGCATAGCTAAAATTATTGTAAGATTTACTTACATAATTCACTATTCATAATTACTGAAATATCAAAGAATTTTATCTGATGAAGATACGGAGACTTATTCTTAGACTGACCTACTATACTTAGACTACTTATTCTTAGAATAGTTGAACTCCATATATCTATCTATATATGCAATGGAACTTAGTATTTTCTTACATTTAGACTTGAGTAATTTTCATTCTGCTTTTAACTCTACAGGCTTATAGCATCGACGGCAGACGCGTGATGCTCACTAAAGATGCTCGTTTTCAAACGCTCATGGGAGAGGGCACTAAAATTACGCACTGGAACGCCAAGCTCATGAACACCATGTACGGCTGCATAGGTGAGACCTGTTGAACACCATGTACGGCTGCATAGGTGAGACCTGTTGAACACCATGTACGGCTGCATAGGTGAGACCTGTTGAACACCATGTATGGCTGCATAGGTGAGACCTGTTGAACACCATGTATGGCTGCATAGGTGAGGCCTGTTGAACACCATGTATGGCTGCATAGGTGAGGCCTGTTGAACACCATGTACGGCTGCATAGGTGAGGCCTGTTGAACACCATGTATGGCTGCATAGGTGAGGTAGGCCTGTTGAACGCCATGTATGGCTGCATAGGTCAAGCCTGTTGAACACCATGTACGGCTGCATTGGTGAGGCCTGTTGAACACCATATACGGCTGCATAGGTGAGGCCTGTTGAACACCATGTACGGCTGCATATGTGAGGCCTGTTGAACACCATGTATGGCTGCATAGGTGAGGCAGTGTACGGCTGCTGGAGGTGGAGCTGGAGGTGGAGCTGGAAATGGAGCTGGAGGTGGAGCTAGAGGTGGAGCTGGAGATGGAGCTGGAGATGGACGTGGATGTTATTCATTGGTGGCATTGGTGGCATCCTGCTCTAATATTCGAGTAATGTTTCAGCCGCGTCTCATACGTCTCTAATTTTTGTACCGCGATTTTCCTTATAATTTTTATACGATCATTCAAATAGTTATTTATTATATTTTTGGTGTTAAATTTGTACTCATTTTTATATTAATGTTTTTTGTCTTTCGGCTTTTACTAGCATTTTCATTTAGAGAAAAAGCCTCTTCATCCTGATCATCCGAAGCGCGTCACTTTCATTTTGTTAGTCGTGAAGAACTTTGCACTTCACTTTTGGTGAACCTTTATTCTGTGACCTTATTTATTGTGACATGTAAATTTGTGCGAGATATTTGTGAATAGTTATATTGTGACATATAAATTCGAGTTTTGATATTTATGAATAGTAATTTTTGTTACGAATAACTAGGATTAACTGTTATTGCTACATCTTAAATTTGTTATTCTTTGTTTGCAGAACCTAGCTCAATAATCACGATTAGTTAGCTCCGGTACGAGCCATCCGCTGGGTTCACTCTACGTTCACTTTACGTTCACTTTACATTCATTTTGGGTTTATTCAGAATTCACTCTAGTTCACTTTAGGTTTATATTGTGTTTATTTTGAGCTTATTTGTGTTCTCATCAGAACATTCCTGTCAATAAAGTGCCAAAACTCTCAAGTTCACTTCCCTGCACGGTCAAAGTTCGGTTGTCTAGCTGGCGCTGAAGTAAAAGCGTTCGGACGTCACCGTCGCGCTTACAATGTTATGAAAATGTCAGCTTGCCATATATTTAAATTTCGTAGTTATAAAGAGAAATGAATCTTTTCGTGTATAATAATAATTATTATTATTGTTACTTATCCAACTATTACTAAAAAGCATTCATTAACATTAATAGCTAATAATAATATTATTTCACCACTTTCAGATACTTGTAAACACTAAAAAGACGCGGATGCTTCTTCATGGATATGGTTATGTCTTCATGTATCAATTTATTTTCATGTATATCGTATTCATTTGTTCATCTACATTGATTTGCACATCTCTTCTCAAAGACGACTGGTTGAAGGCCTGCAAGCAAGTGTCGGAACCCTGCAAGAACGGCGGCTACACGCAGAAGGACTGCAGCTGTGCGTGTCCTCTTGGCACGTCTGGTGACAAGTGTGAGAATCTCGTGATGAGCTATAGAGGTGAGACACGGAACTTCATAGAGATTGATTATGATGATTATGAGCTATAGAGGTGAGACACGGAACAGCATAGAGATTGATGACGATCATGAGCTATAGAGGTGAGGCAGGGAACAGCATAGAGATTGATGTTGATGATCATGAGCTATAGAGGTGAGGCAGGGAACAGCATAGAGATTGATGTTGATGATCATGAGCTATAGAGGTGAGGCAGCGAACATCATAGAGATTGATGATGATGATCATGAGCTATAGAGGTGAGGCAGGGAACATCATAGAGATTGATGATAATGATGATTATGAGCTATAGAGGTGAGGCACGGAACATCATAGAGATTGATGATGATGATACGCAAATGATAGCAAGAGTGGAACGCGATAGTCCCCAAAATTATTGTGACAGAGTACCATTCAGAGGTTCTGATCAGTCGCTTCCTATAACCAATGCTACAAATTGGTTCATAATATTGTGTGTTTGTTTCAATTTAGTCAAGTTGACGAGCTAACATCTAGCCCTGAAGAAAACCTCAAAGCACATTGAGCCCACATATGAAGTTAACACTAGAAGCATCTTTCAATGTGGCGTATGTTAAATGTATCCGACCGTTGCCAGATCATTTTGGATTCCATTGTGAGCATTTTTGAGATTTTAAATAAAAAGTACCAACTAGAAATCTTTTATGAAACTGAAAGAAGTTGCTTACCACTTGAAAGGCGTACCCACCAGGGGGTACGTCTCACAGTTTGGGTGGTTACTAGTATATGTACTTTGTACACTGTTTTATTTGTGAGACATTTTCTATAGCTAGATTTTGTATGATCGTCATTCTGTTCAACAGCGGTGAACATATTACGCATAAAAATAAAAAATATATATTTAAAAATTGGGGACTCTATTAGTGACACTCGTATTTCCCATTTCAATTTATTATTCTCTGTTGTGACTCGAGGTCAGGCTCCAATGTCTTGAAAGACAACTGCTGGGATACTTTCAACTCCCTTCATATGTTTGGATCTTACAGAATATATATGATCAAGTGACCATGAAAATAAATTCTTGATTTTTAATAAATTTTGATCTGATACAGACATGATACGCGCTTTATCTTGCTAACAATTTTGATCTATCGTCTAAATTATTGTTGCTAAACACTCGCATTTCAACACAGATGCTCTGATAAAGCAGCTCGCTCCGTACACTTCCGTCATCTCAACCTCTGGTTCAGTGGTCGTCTCTCCTGGCTACCCCGACAACGCGCCATCGACCGGTATGTAATTCTTAGCAGTTATTTTGATTGGGAATTTTTATTGACAATTTTTCAAGGTGCTTCAACTTAGTGAGTAATGAGTCATCAGTGTAATGTGAGTAACATTCAATGTTGCATTTTTACCTCAAAATGACTTTGTAAAAGTGACGTTGCTGCAGTTTCCTTCAGTTTCAACGTGATTCAAACGTCCTCAATTGAGGTTATATCATCGTTGATTCGACTAGAGCAGTGGTTCCCAAACCTTTTCAGGCTGGCGCCCCCCTTGGCTCCCCAGTGAATCTCTAGCGCCCCCCGCTGACAGACACATATAAAAACAAACGCCTCTTTCTTGATATTTAGTATGCTGCAATTTTGAAAGAGAAAGGTTAAACACAGATATTTTCAGAGGCTCCCAAAGATCTTTCCACCGCCCCCAGGGGTGAGATATCGCCCACTTTGGGAACCACTGGACTAGAGCATACCAAGTGGGTTGGCATCATGACTATGAACATAATTAATTAAACGTTGTTGCATATTTTCAGTGAGCCTTTTGTCAGTAAACTTAAACTCTGTCCCAGCAAGGTCAATTGTACTGAATCAGATAGTGTAAAATTGAGTATTTAAGTATTACGCGACATGTCAGTTAGCGTATAAAATGATCCGCTCATCTTACTCGCTGGCTGATCTGCGTGACAATATGCAGACGTGACCGAATGGCTGTTTTGAAATAAAATCTAGACTGTATAAATATTATTTTAGCGACCCAGGCGATTATTCTGTAGCCATTTTTACATATGGTCAATTGATATTTGAAGTCTAGCGTAATCTAAAATTGTGTGGTATTCAACTAGTGCTAACCTATGAACAATTGAATAACAATTACAGCACTGCTGAAAATTTTGTTACTGTTAATTTTCTATCTCTCTCATGAATAAAAAACTAAATCTACTTAAAATCTCATTTCGATGCATAAAAAAACAACCAGCATGCTAACGAATAACAAGAATGTGTCTTTTGTTCTTCTATAAATGCTGAAACCGCTATTATTATTATTATTATTATTATTATTATTATTATTATTATTAACATGATAATTAATAACAAGAATGTCTGTGTTATATCGAATAACTGTATGACCTAAAAATGATTATTTATAGAGGTACTGTCTGTATTCTATCCAGCAACTCTTTGAACAAAGTAGGATAACTCCAATGTAATTAAATTTTTCCAGAAACGCAGTACACGCAGGTTTTCCGTGCCAAGAAGTGCCAGCGAGCGGTCGTGAAGTTCGACGACTTCCAACTTGAGCCACGAGACGCCAGACGAAAAAGCTGCGACGTCAGCGTCCTGGAGATCCGCTCCGACGTCTCCGTGCCGGAGGGGAAAATGTATGGCTTGTTTTTTCGTTGATCTTGAGTGTGAATTAAGCAAATGAATTCATTCATTTGTTTATTGCCTGCCTTTTGCGGTGCAATATCAAAATATATTGAACTGTCATCAATTGATCAATATTAATGTATGAAAAATTCACTGTATTAACTAATGAACTAATTTCCAAAGTAGTTCAACATAAAAGAATAGAAATTAATTGTTTGGATTTTATAATGGAAGCTGTATTAAACTTTATGAACTTGTTTTTAGATTTTGTGGTGAAGAAATTGAGAAAGGAACAGCTTTCAAAAGTGACAAGTCTGAGCTCATCTTTCATTACGTGAACATTGACTACACTAAATATGGCATGAAAAACACACGCCGAGGCTACAAGGCTACTTTCACAACCGAAGCCATACCCGACTGCCGGTAGTTGAGAACAACGGGTGCGTTCTTTACGATGTTAATCGTGAGAAATGGATTAGTCATGATGTTCAGAGAATTCGTCATCATGTTTAAGAAATTCAGTGCATGTGTAAAAATATTCCAGGACATAAATTTTTCTGTGGCATTCGAACCACAACTTCGTTCTGTGGCACTCTATAGAGTAAACTTCTATTATGCAAGCAATTCTAGCCCAATGAGGTTAAGTGTTGGGTTCTTTCATAAACTGGCATCCTACGCCAGATATATGCCCATAATTTTCATGTCTACAGTTACTTGTGTATTGTCCAGATTATACCTGTTTTGTAAGCACGTATAGCCAACAAATGTTTCAGTCTGCCGGAATAAGTTAACTCAGTTCTAACTTCTTGATTTTACAGCTGATGGGGTTTCATCTATCTGGCTGGAATGTCATGGGAACTGGAGACCACAAGGAACAGGAAATTAATAGTGTTATGTTTTTGAAGCGTGTGAAAAATGACTTGCAAGTTCTATTCTTGTTTCATTTTAAAGACCAAACTACAACTATTGATGTTTGGAATATCCTTGTACAAGATTATCCTAAGAAAAACTCGTTTGGAAGGAGACCTTTACTGTGCTAGGACGTGATTTCGATCTTTAAGAATTTCCTTTTTCAATTCCTGTTTTCAATATTCTTATTTTTAACAATTCCTGTCATCATTGCGAATCCCCTGGTATATAGTGGCTAACGGATGAATTCAGTGCGAACAGTAGCTTCTTTATAAGAGTTTCAGCTATTTTTTGTACGCGAAAAATTGGACGTAAACACGCATTAGAACGAATGACATAAAAATAAGCGTTGGCAACACTACGGTGTATCGTGGAAAAACAGAGCATTGATAACACTGCGGTATGGATGCTAAATTAATCATTTGAAAGTTCATTCATGAACAAACTTCAGAATTGCCTAGCGCTGCATATCGGGTCGACGGGCCAATCGACACCTCAAAAACCTCGATTCTTCACAATAGTTTGAGTCTGAGTTGCACACCGGCATTCACCCCATTCAAAAGGCAAAGTGATGTGACAGTTCCAGCATTTAGTTTTAAATCTAATTTGTAATTTTCTCGTGTGCCCCTGAGTAGAGAAGAAACTGATTGGTTCCATTTTAAATGAAGCTTAGAGCGTGCCTCCAAGTTAAGTTAATATGAGCGCTCAATTTGTTGATCGGTTTCTAGTTATTCGCTCAACTAATTTGGGTGAAAATTTGTTCGGACAATCGGAGATGTAACAAATTCACTTTCCAATTTCAAAAGCAATCAGTCATTAAGGAATAAATTAGATTAACTCTCGTTGTAACCGCTAAATTCTTTATCCAGCCCATATAGTGGTCACTAACCATCTTATGCGATTGTCTTCAGTTCACTTACTATGTAATTCGAACAAGGGCATGGCCAATGAAACTTAGGTAACTGAACACAAAAAAATTCAATTAAAATAAATACAAACAGGTGTTCGCCAATTAAAACAGGCCTCAAGCCACTGTCACAGTTATGGGCCTAATGCCACAGGTTGGAATTATCTTGCATCCAGGTCTGCAAAAGAGTAAAATGTCATTAAGTATAGAAATGAAACCTATTAAAATTTAAATCGGCCAAATAATAAAACGTCAATAAATGTTTAGCGTCTCCACACCGTACCGTAGGTACTGGTCAGCGTCGATATCAAGAGTGACACGTGCTGACAGAGCGCTACTGAAAACTACTCGGATGAACAAATGCTACAAGAAATGCGTCAAAGCTTCGACTACACTCATAATAAGTTTGAAACACAATGCAGGCTTATTCCCTGTAAAAGTTTTCGTTCAAATCAAGGTCGCCCCAGTAGCATAAGAATAGGCTTAGAGGTGATTCAGGCGCAGATCGGCCACGTACGCTGTTTGGCTTTTATTTTGCAGCCTCTTTTGGAATTCAATTGTCCGGTGGGGCGAATCTGCTTAATATGACTAAAAAAAGCAGCTGGTCAAGCTTCCTCATGATGCCCCTGGTAAAACGCTGATGAGGATACCGCATAATAGGTTGGTCATAAACTGAACAGGGTAAATGCGCGAACCATGACCATCTCCCGCTCTATAATGGCGTTGACGAATGTACACGCGTACGTTCGCTATGCGATACGACGGAACGAAAGGAGAGTCGGCTCTAACTTAACATACAGCATGGTGAATTTAGCCTATGATGAAGAAACCCAAGCACCTACTGTTTAAGACGCCTATTTTAAACCTGACACTTCAGTATATTATACCCACTTTTGAGCACATAACTAAGTCACATCATCGAACGTAAAGAATAAATTGTTTCAGATAGTCGATCAAATTAGCAAATCTATAGTTATTTCTACTCCACGAATATGATGAATAAACCAGATGAATAACGCAAAAAGAGATCCCTAGAGGTCGCTTAATGCACCGGAAGAAGAAACACCAGAATTGAATTAATGTTGCGGGAGTTGTTAACTGAAAATCGAATCAATCCGATGAGTGTAAGAATCAAAAGTGAACTTGCATTACATGCGCTCAAACATGTGTGCGCCGCATGTACCCCAATACGCAAACCATTATCTACTCGATAATTGCACATGCAATAACGATCCATCTCCATCTGGAAATGCTTAAATGCTTTCTTGATTCAAGTACTCACATCAATAATATGCGTTTAAAAATTACTTTTTAAAGATAACACTTCTAAGGAATCCAGTGTCTCCGATGTTACACATTCGCAATGAATGTCTAATTTTGTTATCATATATTAATAAAAATTAATTTTTAAATTTTATTTGTAAAATTTAAATGAATTTACATTTTTCAAAATGATTTATTGTCAATTGAATCATGCATTGTCTCCAACTTTACTCAAGTGTGCAAAATTTCAGATCGATTAGGTAGGTAGAAGTGTGTTAAATATCGATTATAAGATATGTAGCGCACAGCATTAATTTTTCAATTTTTTTAAGTTAAATTTTTTTTTAAATTTTTTAATTATATATTCTGTCAATTGATTCATGCATTGTCTCCAACTTTACGCAAGTGTGCAAAATTTCAGATCAATTGGACAGGTAGAAGTGTGTTATATCGATTATAAGATTTGTAGCAGACAGACAAACAAACAACAAAAAGTGAAGTTAAGGAAGAGTGTTGTAAAAACTGCGTTGTAACACATCCATGCGACAACATTTCTTTTCGCTTCGAGTCACCGACTTGTGGAACAGCCTCCACGATAGCATCGTTGACGCTCCGATTATGAACGACTTCAAGAACAGACTAGAAGATGCATATATATGTTCAGTCTTAAAATGCCTAGCAACTTACGAACCAGGCAATAAGTCCAGCAGCTATCTCAATCAATCGTCAGTTATGGAAAGATCGGGTTCCAAAGGCCGGATCCCTTGTGAATCAAGTCATGAAAAGTATATGAATCGGCAACAGGCCATGGACCTATTTCTTCAGTGCCGATACTTCTATTCTATTCTAAGCCCACGAAGTAATGACTTCCCTAACAATGGGAAATATTCAGCTTTGGGCAATGTCTGCTTGAGCGGCTATAGTAGTAGCTCTTGCAGATATATATGCTTTTAGTTGAAATTTCCAAGCATCCCTACGGCCGACAGCTTAATTATTGAAGATTGCATAAGAACGTTCGTAATTTTCGGGAGCCTTTGAAGACCAGTCCATGCGGTACAACAACGTTCTCGCTGTCCTAGCTATCGTATCGGTGTGAACTTTCGCGTACAAGGAGGCAGGGAGAACATGTTTAAACGGGATCCCATTTATGAGCAACTTATTTGATTTCACATTACTATCGTATATTCCGCCATAATTTTGGCTATAAATCCAGGAATTTCGAGTGCATTTGATAATTTGAAAGCTTGAAACGAATTTCATTTAGAGCTCAACACTTCCAATGCAAAACAAATTGTTGACTCCTTACTCCTGTGAAGTGTGATCGGGTGGCTGCTTACTGCAATCATGCCACTGCAGTAACTTGACTTTGTTAAGATTAACACTTATTTTTCTATTGCGTTGTCTTCCTTAAATTATGACGTATTTGACTGGAAAATTCCAATTGTGAAGGAAAATTTGTTAGTTTTTCCTGCAAGAATTTTTTTTAAAAATGCAATTGTATGGTGTATCTTTCACCATTACTTCTTTGAAAACACAGCAATTGTACGATGCAAGTTCTTCTTTCGACAATAATAGAAGATTTCAGCTTGAGGAATATGCTGCATCAGTTGTTATTTGATCGGCTTATGCACGTATGCCTCAGGTTCTAATATTTATTCCACCGCAGCAACTGGATAAATTTGTGGAACGGAAGTTTGTGAATTTAGAGAATCAATTTTTGAGTTTCTTGGTTAAGCCAGGCTGACGTCGTCAAAAGGCTCACAAGTTTAACGCGTTACATGACATGATTTCAAGGCCTCATTGTAAGTAAATGTTTACTAGGATTCAATTACAGTAGGGCTGTATAATGTACCATAGTATATTAGGTTAGTTACTGCAGTTGAGCATCATTATTAATTTGTTCTTTGCTTATTGTTAATTGTAAATTTCTAACAGATTGTTTCTGGAAATTCTTTATTCCCATTTCAAAAATATTATATACAAATATTATTCCCGTTTCAAACTCGTGTTTACTTGCAACTATATATTTACGTATATGCTCGCGTTGCCAAGGGTATTATTTACACTAGCTTTCCATAGCTAAATATTTATTTTCAAGACCACCATGTTATCAGTTTACACTGCAATAAATTCCAGTTCCAGTCTCTTTTCATTTCTAATCCTGCTTACTGTGTGGGTAATGACTGCGTTTATTTACAACACTGCGCATCTTAATATACGCGAGTCACGAAACATGTGCGAAAACTTGATGTTTTCCGTTATTCGGCAGGAGCTCCATTTATGACCGTACGCATGTCGCGGGCGTGAATAGACTTCACTTGTGCCAGTCGCAGCTGTACAAAGCCCTCAGCTGGACTAAGCCTCAGTGCATCATTTTATACGTATCTGCATAACATTGATCATATGACGATGACTAAAATAAATTTTCTCTAAAATGAAATACAGCTCACTGCCTCCTTACCTTAAATATAAATTTCACTCCAGTTTCATCGCCTGAAATTTCATGTTAGCCGAATTCGCATCATACGAGTGGAACTTTAAAGAATATTCATGATATTTCGGTAAAGTTAACGATTTTGTAGCCAGTTACAACAGACGTATTACGAAAAAAGGGACTCAGTGAAGGAATTAGGAATAAAGAGGATAAAAGAAGTTTCCGTTTTATTGCGATAATGAAGAGCTTCGAGCGTTCAAAAATTTTTATTTTATCGATATTGAGGCGCCTTTGCATGTTCAAAATTTTCACTATTATTATCACTTACCAAAAAAATGAGTGTTTGTCGTGTCTTCGATTTTCAAATTTGAGAGAAGGATCAATTACACGACTACATTTCCGGTT